ATGACCCCTAGAATCTGGTACCAGAAAATTAGCTACTGCAATTTGCAAAACAGGCCGAAAGTAACTTATGACAGGCATTTAAAAAGACTATAAACAAGGTGCACAACATTTGAACAATACTGATGAAAGCTAATTCCACGATAAAACTGAAAATACAACACTACGGTAAATGAACTGTAATGGCACTGTACCGGTAAAAACAGTAACATGGTCCCTACGTCAGCCCACTGTCCAGCACAAAACATCCGACAGTCACACAACACAGACAAACATCCCTGAAGACCAGAGGCATTCACACAGACATTCAAAACCCACCAATCAAACCGAAACACTCAGACGACTCCACTCTGTCACACACAGCATACACCAACAGACCACGCTGCCCCCGAGAACCAATCGACCGTGTCGCAGCGTCTAAACTGCTAGACTACCAAATATGGAAACGATATCACATGACGTCATTTAACAGGCAAAACAAGGGTCGTCACATTACCCCCCTCTTCTAGATGGAACATTATGAAAGAATGTTTTCATCTCTAAAAAAAATATTTGAAACACGAAAAGCAGTGGTCAAAACCAAAATATGTCCACGAATGTCTTTAAAATATGCAGGCCGTCTACCCTCACGCTTAATCATCCGTAAAGTTTGTCATTCTGAATTGAGTCCACAAACGTCAACGAAGCGACCAAATTGATGTTGCATATCTCCAATGGCTCAACAACGGCTACTATGTTAGATCTCCGGACGGCCAAGGCTGTTGTAGCTGAACTAGAACAACCAGTCCCGAGCGGCCGGTATAACCACATCTTCAACTATAGTCCCATGACAGCAGGGAGAAGCTGTTTGGTGCTGTACCTTAACATCCTGTCCCTCAAGAACAAAACGATGCGACGAATTTGCCAAGATAGTCCATCCGTGACCCTAGATCGGCGACGGCAACGGTATGCTCCACAGGCCAGCTTTCAATCGTCAGGTTGACATCAAGTGCACCATGAGACACTAACGACTCGCCACTGGCAGTAAGCAATGGTACTGGAAAAGAATACAGTTCTGAAATGTCCGAATTTCCTGCAACGTCGAGTAAACAGCGGTGTCTATGAGCGAGACACCCGAACCGAATTTCCCGCAACGTCAAGTAAACAGCGGTGTCTATGAGCGAGACACCCGCACGTGACCCTGGATCGGCGACCACAACTGTATGCTCCACAGACCAGCTTTCAATCGTCAGGTTGACATCAAGTACACCATGAGACACCAATGACTCGCAACCGGCAGTACGGAGTGGCACTGGAACAGGATGCAGCCCCGAAATGTTCGAATCTTCCTGCAACGTCGAGTAAACAGCGGTGTCGATGAGCCAGACACCCGCACCGGTATCAATCAGAAACAAAACAGGCACGTTATTGACCAGATCCTTGACATATCATCCATTAGTCCAAGTAAGAGAAAAAAAATCATAGTTCATAGAAAATATCCTGGCGTGCTCTCGCCAAAAATTGTAGCGTACCGGCAATGTATGAAATAATTATCCAGGTTTAGAATATCTTCTAATATGATCTGACGTCAAGTTTTCTCTCAATAGTCCAAGTCTTTATGCTATTTTATGTCATTTATTAACAACTCGAACAGTAAACGATCCAAAAACAACCAAACACTCCCAAAGGTACAAAAAGCATAAAATAAAAATAACAGATACCAGGCAGTAAAATGCAAGAAAGACCACATACACAACAAAACACTGAAACCCTGAAATCCAAGACAACTCTGAATAAAAACCAAATGACCCCTAGAATCTGGTACCAGAAAATTAGCTACTGCAATTTGCAAAACAGGCCGAAAGTAACTTATGACAGGCATTTAAAAAGACTATAAACAAGGTGCACAACATTTGAACAATACTGATGAAAGCTAATTCCACGATAAAACTGAAAATACAACACTACGGTAAATGAACTGTAATGGCACTGTACCGGTAAAAACAGTAACATGGTCCCTACGTCAGCCCACTGTCCAGCACAAAACATCCGACAGTCACACAACACAGACAAACATCCCTGAAGACCAGAGGCATTCACACAGACATTCAAAACCCACCAATCAAACCGAAACACTCAGACGACTCCACTCTGTCACACACAGCATACACCAACAGACCACGCTGCCCCCGAGAACCAATCGACCGTGTCGCAGCGTCTAAACTGCTAGACTACCAAATATGGAAACGATATCACATGACGTCATTTAACAGGCAAAACAAGGGTCGTCACACCTTGTTTAACGAAGTTTGTGTTTTGTTGTGTGTGCTGGTAAGCGAGCACAAGACATTTTTCTCACTTTAAACTTTGTTAAAGGTTTTGTTCGCTCTCCAGATTCCTCCATTTTTTAATTTGAGTGTAATATGGGATTTCAAAATAAACTATATATCTACTTGAAACACGCCCCTCCAGTTACGACAGTGTCGCTGCTCGATAACCAGTTTTGGTTCCCCGCGACTTCCCTTCTCCGGTAATGGGAATATCATTTTTTCCTTGTATTTTTCGCATGTTTTTGTCTTTTACTGGTTGGAAGAAATAAACTTGACAATGCACACTTGGTACTGGGTGCCTAACGCTGCCCAAAAATTACCATACACAAATATTTTCTGACAACTGGTGGACTGGGAATTTATAAACCTTTCCCCGGCCCTTGATTATTGTAACTAAACTAAAGGTCCTCGGAAGACACAATGCCAATTAGGTGATTTGATTTACAACAATTTTTTGAAAACACAACTGATAACTGAAAAACAACACGCAAAACTACCAAAAAGAGGCAATGTTTACAACCACGCCACGCCTGAATATCTGAGCGAAGTGTCTGAGTGGCGGCATAAATTTCAATTGTTACGTCACTGTTAACTTATTGCTGATTTATAATTGTTACGGAAATAAACAAGGAAATCAATGCCTGGGAAAACATCCATATCCATCATCCTCGGCGAGTAGGCTGGTACCAAACAAAGCGTATATATAATACAAGAGAGCTACGCCCAAATATACGGACACGTCCGTTCGCAGTACAGCACGGTTTACCGTACCGTCAGATCACAGTCTACAAATATATTCACACCAAGCGAAGCAGTACAGTCGGACACAAAATGGCGCCCGATGTCCGCAGAACGTTCGGTGACGTCATAGCAAACAAAAGCAATTCTCACAGAGCTAACAGAAATATTTGAAATAAATATGAAAGTAATAGCCTTCTGGAGAAAATTTTTATCTGTAACCACTGAAAATTTCAGAGCAATTGGTCCAGTAATCAAAGAGAAAAACGACTTATTAGACTTTCCACTAGGTGTCCAAAAAGTGTCAAAGAACAAGAACAACAACATAATATTGAAACGGCTATGTCCACTACGTGTCCAATATGCGAGGTAACGCTCAGACAATGTACGCCGTCTTGTGCCTATTGTTCTCGGCAATTTAACACGGCGCCTTATGAAAAGTTCCAACACAATTATTGAAACATAACTATGATTTTCACTAATTTTTTAGGTAGAAAAATTTTGGAGGTCGCGTTTTGAAGTAGAATCTTAGCCGTACATGCTTATATCGTTTCATGTTGGTCAAATTACATTTATAGTACATTAAATTGTCGTTGAAGACGAGTATACCGGTTCCGAGTTGCTTCCGAAGGAAATTGGCCATTCTAATCGTCATAATTAACCATTTGACAATGGCGTTCCTTATGACGTCACAGATGAAAAGTTGTATTTATTCGTCGAAATTACCGGCCGACCCAACTTTGCTTCAATGGCCGTTTCTATTTTCTGGTTAACATTTTTCGCCTGTCAAGCTCCATAATGCCCTACTGCTCAGCTCCAAGATGCGCTAGAAGAACAAATGACATTGTAGGATTGTTGCGGAGACATTTACAGCCTCAAATTGGCGTATCACTTTGAAATCTTTGAAAAAATGACCAAAAATGGTTCGACGCTGTGTTTGTGGTCAAATTGAACGCATTAGAGTGTTTTTTATTCCCAATTGCGTTATATATTTAGATAGCATATATCTTAAAGTTCAAAATCCACCCGTCGGTTTCAATTCTAGTCCTTATAACAGCTGACTTATTCGATTCGGTACAACAATGCTGATTACCTCACTCCGGGTAAAAAGGCAGTCAGAATGCGGGCGTTCGATTTCGTGCTTCGCTATTTGTTCTTTGTAAAAGACTACGCCGATGCGTGGTCACAAAATAGTTGTATTTCATTGGTTGGTTGTTCCGCTTTCTTTTTGGTAGATATATATATCTTCACTTAAGTGACATATTTTGGCATTTGAAGAAAATTGCATTTTATTACAATAGGCACCAAAAGTAAATATGGCATTTCCCATCAAGTGAGAGAAAACGCGAATTGAACATTTCTGCAAAATTCTGCATTCACTGATTTAGGATTGAACACTCATTTGTAACAGGTTGCAAGGATTTTCATTAAATAATAACAGGTTGGTTTGTCGACATGTAACTTTAAATGCAGAAATGACTAGGATTATCTGTAATCATAATCCCATGGATTGTATGATTGTGGCCTACGCCTGTGACCATTCCAAGTTTCACTATATAAGAAGTTGGTTATATGTACATTTTTGGTTTGCATATGCGAAGTCCACAAGCACTTAGTCTACCTCGATGCATAATTGCTGATAGAATATTTATAATTAATTATTGATTTAGCATTCTCAGAGCTAGACTATGTCTGTATGTAGCTTGCAGTAGAGTCTGAGACTGAGAGTATAGATTTATTTATATGAGACAAATCTCATAATAAATTGTGAAATAACAGTATCAGCCATTTTTGATGGCGTTTCCCTAATCCATTGATGACAGGTGCGATGTATTTACCCGCTAGTCTGTTACGACTTCACTCAGTACGGCACACTATACAGATCGAGCGACATTGTCTCATTTCAGAGAAACCCGTTTTACAGATGAGAGATGACCAGACACCCCTCCTTTGGGGACGTCTGGACATGGTTGTCCCTCAATATGAAGTTGTGCAAAAAACTACAGAGAAGCACAATTTAAAAACGTCATCATTGAATTCCTTTGGGAAAAATAATCCCATTTACAGAAGGAAAATATTTTCTACCGTGGCATTCGAGAGTTTTGAGAAAAAAATGGCAATTTTAGTCACATGACGGATGCAATTAATTTAGATAATTATCCATCTACCGTCGTGCCAGACGCCCCCTCGTTTGTGAGACACATGGAGTGTTTGTTTTATTCAACCAAATGACGGGACATTCTTGGAATTTGGATAGTGTGCCGTACTGCCACTGTCAAGTCCATGCGTCTGAAACAAATAACTGGCTATCGAAACTAACCCCATATTCAACATGAACGAGGAACCAGATGAGAGGTTGTGGTATGCCATATGATAAGTCATCTATTTGTGTTTCCTTCTCCCTCAAGATAAATATGAAAATCCTATACTTGTTTTATTTTTGTGTAGAAACATATAAGAATGAGGTTACTGTGTTTGCTAAAAACTATATCCCCACATTGCTATGCCATACAGCATCGTACTTACGGAACATTGGCCAAGTCAAAAAATATATGTGTGAACTTTGTAAATCCATCAAGAACAAAAGTATTTCAAAAACAATTCTCTACCTCAGGAAGACTATATTTTCCAATTCGAAAACGAAGGTCGCCAACACTAGCACCTGGTGTAGGTTGGATGTCTGTGTTGTTTATTGCAACTGTAGGTTCTATTTCTATCCTTATTATGAAGCATTTCAAGTCGAAAAAAGAAGAGAAATTTGAATCTAATATGATAAAGTCAATGGGAAAACCAGCTTTAGGGGGAGATTTTACTCTTATAGATCAAGACGGCAAACAATGCAGTAATCGCGACTTTTTAGGTCAATGGGTTCTTATCTACTTTGGATTCACCCACTGTCCTGACATTTGTCCTGAAGAACTAGAAAAAATGGGAAATGTTGTTGATACAATCAAGAGAACTCCGCAGTTGCCAGACGTTCAACCTTTATTTATAAGTATTGATCCTGACAGAGACACTCCTGATGCTGTTAAAAAATATGTTGCTGATTTTCATCCTAATCTTATTGGTTTGACTGGAAATCGTGAGCAAGTTGAAAATGCTTCAAGAGCTTTTAGAGTTTATTATGCTGAAGGTCCAAAAGACTCGGAAGATGATTATATTGTAGACCATACTGTGATAATGTATTTATTAAATCCTGATGGGGAATTTTGTGAATATTTTGGTCAAAACAAATCAGCAGGAGAAATGTCTTCAAGTATTTCTTCAATAATGTTAAAATTCAAGCACAAAGATTGAAAAACAACTAATTTATTATCAAGTAGATTCTTATCTGAAAAATGCAAAGCATTATCTTCGTTATAGAAACAATGAAATTCGGGCAAAATTGAATATCTTGTTATGAAAATCTCATGCTGTTGGATACTGTGGAATTTACAATCTTATAGAACTCTGCTAATAATTTATTATTGGTTTTAGCAGCGACCTTTTATATGCATATGTTGCATATTGCCTTTTTTCAGTTATAGCTCCTCGTCTATATGTCCAAACACTCTCTCTCACCAAATAGGATAATGCACCCAAGTAGTAATCACCTATCTTAGCAGAATGATATATTTTTTAAAATTCTTATTAATGGCAAATAATGTTTTTTTTAATTTAGAAACTACCGGTAGTACTAATTTAGTGCTATAATAGTATGAAATGTTTTCTGCATTTCTCTAATTCATGTAAAAGTATTTTAAACGAAATTGTGAAGTCTTCGACATCTATTTACATCATGGCAGCAGCAAGACCAAGTTCGGATTTGGCTGCTTTCCGTGCAGAGTTTGAACGAGCAAAGAATATTGTTGTGCTGTCTGGCGCAGGAGTAAGTGCAGAAAGTGGGGTGCCCACATTCCGTGGAGCTGGTGGCTTTTGGAGAAAATGGCAGGCTCAGGATTTAGCATCACCAAAAGCATTTGAATCTAATCCATCATTAGTTTGGGAATTTTATCATTACCGTCGTGAAGTCATGATAACAAAAAATCCAAATCCTGCGCATTTGGCTATCGCAGAATGCGAAAGTCGTTTGAAGAGTAATGCTCGGAAATTAACTGTCATTACTCAGAATATAGATGAGCTCCACAAGACAGCAGGATCTGAAAACATTATTGAATTACATGGATCATTGTTCAGAGTTTGTTGCACAAAGTGTGGAAAAGTGGATGTGAACAAAGATTCTCCGATCTGTGAGGCATTGAGAGATCGGGGTGCTCCTGACCCAACAGCTCAAGATGCAAAAATACCAGTCGAAAATTTGCCGAAATGTAAAAGTTGTGATGGATTATTGAGGCCCGATGTTGTTTGGTTTGGTGAAGGACTAGATCAAAAAGTTCTCGAGCGAGCAGACGAAGAACTTGAAAAATGTGATCTTTGTCTGGTTGTTGGTACATCGTCTGTTGTTTACCCGGCTGCCATGTTTGCTCCGATGTTATCTTACCGTGGTGTTACTGTGGCGGAGTTCAATTTGGAGGATACACCTGCAACCATGAACTTTAAATACCATTTTTGTGGTCCTGCGGGAGAGTGGATACCAAAAGCCTTAGCCCCTTGATCTGCTAACGGAGGCCGAATTGACACTTGTATATGATGCAAATATATTGCAGTCAACATGTAATTTATCTTCCATATGTTTTATGATAGCACTTTTTTTTAGTTATTCTCCTATACATTTTTACTCCGTACTTATTGCATCTTATGGTACAACACTTTGTAAATTGCTGCTTTTTGCTGGGAGCATATGTAACCTGATGATAAAATCTATACCTTTTAAATATTTCATATAGTGCAATTAGAAATACCGTTCACATCATGTTAATAATACAGAGCAATGTATTAAAATGATGCTATTGTTTATGCTTAACTATGTCAGTCTTTTTTGGATGTCTTTGATTCAAATCATATCACATAAAATATTATAAATGGAGTATATGTTACTATTGTCCCAATGTCCCATAAACCTAAATTGCATATTATATCAATGTCCCTCAATAGTCAATAGTATGACATTATCATGGCTAGGCATTCTCAACATTTCTTCGTATCATATCACAGAAATATATAAGAAAAATTTTATAAGAGTTTCTAAAAACCTTCCTCAATCACATGTCTAGTTCTAGATTATTTTATAATACATATGCTTAAAATGCCCAGAGTGCAATCTATAGACTGTGTTAAATAGCTTATCTTTCTCTGTAATTTTACTTGCTTGACTTTTAGCAGAATATAAATAATTCTTAGTTATTCCATCTCATGATGGCAACCAGTAATAGTAAATCCGATGAAGAAGTCAAACAGGACACAAGTGATTCGGATGGTGCAATTTTACAAGGTATAATGAATATACATGAAGTTTTGATTTTGAGGGATTTTATTATCATTTTAAACTTCGTATATTTCAGATTCAACTAGATATGTAGTAGCCATGGTAAATACCTAGAAAATTTTACTGGAATGGGGTTTATTATACCATTAATTTCAAATAGAAGAAGGGTACCCCTGGTATTGGAGAGGCCAGCGTAAGCATTCATTAATGAATCAAAGAGACGAGAGCAATGGTTTCAACCTTTTTTCTTTTCTGGCGCACTTTCGTTGCACAAAAACAATTCTGTGGCCCAGCAACTTTCTCATTCAAGAAAAAAACTAAATAAAAAAAAATTTCTCCTCGCAAAAATAGACAATGCCACTTTTTTAATCAAAATGAAGTACCACTCAATTCCGGTAAATGATACCAATTCATCAATAACTGATGTCCCATCTAAAAATGTTTCCGTGGGCCATGGCCCTCTAGCATGGCCCTCTAGTTGAGAACCGGTGTCCTAGAGTCAGCTAAATGAAATGACTCAAGTCTCAAACTTGTAATCAACAGTGATACCAAAACTCGGAGATCAACTTGGATGACCCATGACACGAGGATTAGGGAATTGTACCTTACACTTCGATGCTTTTGCTATTTTTTTGTATAATATATTCACTTATCATTTTCCAGCAATGCAAAACCAGGAAATTGATGAAGCGATATATGCAATGCATAATCAAATACAGAAAGATGTAAGACTATTTTTTTTTCTTGCTCTGTTTGAGATAGTTTTTGAACAAATATGGCATATAATTTGCTAAACTATCTGGAACCGTTATTTCGTAAGTGTTCATGCTGTCAAATCTATCTTTATTTGTGGACAACAGAGTCGCTATCACCAGGGATGAACAATTCATTGTTTTTATGATCCTCATATTTCTTCCGTTTTATAAACAGATAGCAAAAGAAAACGAATTGGTTAGTGATAAGATGGAAATCATGCAACTACAAAACGAATATGCTGAAGATGATGCTGTATATTTACAAAAAGTGAAGGTATTGTTAGTTAGCTTTCCTATAGTTAGAAAATTGCTTGTTTAATTCAGAATTCATATTGCTTTTTTGGATTATATTTTTGTTGCCTGTTATTGAATTTATGGAAGTGACACTAATAGCTATACTTGTATTGATTTACCACAAATGAGGAAATTTCTACACCAAATAAAACCCCATGTTCATAAATTTTACATTGTGTCTTGTGTAAATTATTTAGAAGTGGTTTTTGAGCATACACATTCTATTAGATTGGAATACTGTGATGAAGAAATGTTTATGTATATATTTGAAGCATATTAAATACATTTTCTCCTTATTTTTATCCAGTTTAAAATAGGGAATCATTACATTTATTATGGCATTCTTGATAACTGTACTTTTCACAAATTTCTCAGATTCTTTCAGAGAAGTACAGCCATGTTAGAAAGACAAGGGGAGATGGTAATTGTTTCTATAGAGCTTTTGGGTTTGGTTATCTTGAGTATCTGCTGCAAAATAAAGATTGTTTTTCTGGGTAAGATTTTGTCACATTGCAAATGAAGACACACACAACAGATATATGCAACAATCTAATAATTTGGGAGATTGCCATGTTAAAGATTTACAGTTCACAAGTGCTGCGCAATCTTCACACTTAACATCATGCACTAACCGCCTAGTCTCATGGAATATTTTAAATACACACTCTGGTTGTCATAAATAGCCTATGACGAATCAAGAAGTCTTTAGTACTTCGCCTACTTCCATAAAAATATCTCTATAAATGACTCCTTAATCCTAATCAAAGAATTTATTACTGTATATAATATACTAGATTGATTATCAACGTGTTGCTCTTTATTGTACCAGGTTCAGAGCAAAAGCTTCAGAAACCAAAGACAAATTAGAAAAATTAGGTTATCCTTCATTCACTGTGGAAGATTTTCATGATCAAGTAAGTTTCGAAATTATAGCATTAAGCCCATGCATATGAAACAATTAACTCACTAGCCAATCCCATACCATCAATTTAGAATACTGAATCCTCTGGAGTTCGAATCCAGAAGGATCTGAATACAGGATTCGGTTCCAAGCGTAAATTTTATTTATTACCGGTTTCTATGTTTTTAAACAAAGACTAGCGACGGCGAACATATCACCCGGCATAATCAGAATAAGAAGACGGCGATGAACAAACACCTCACGACGAATACTCTTTATTGCTCTATTTTTGCGTTTTCCGACTTTACTATCTAGTTGGCGATACCCACGTTTCATTTTCCATTAAATGGTTTTTCGCGGAAAGCCAGATGTTAAATGTTATAACAATGTTTACGATCAATCAACATCAAATAATATTTGCGAGTGCCGTAATTCAAATACTGTACTTTATGACATGCCTTCTCTTAAATTTCATTGTCCTGAGAAATGCCTGTTTGGAATGAAATAAAATGAACAAAAAAGATAGTAATACATTAGGCTACAATTTTACTTTTTTAAATTTTCAATCAAGCAATGTGATGGGGAATTCTCACTCACACAAATATTGGTAACTATGGAAACAGAATATGATTTGATTGAAGTATTTTAGAATAGTAAGTCATTGTACATTGCCCATCCTTACAGCCATACCCGACATCGACATGTGATCGAACGAGAGGCCATGTTACACAATGTGATTAAGCTGATGCTTTTCGCCAAAAATGCCATGTAAATTGCATAGTAAACTTTCGAGGAAGTTTGTGGAATAGTGTGCATTGATCATTGCCTTATTTCATTTTTTTCTCTTCAGTTTATATCAGTTGTGGATTCTGTAGGATCTGGAATAACGGTAGAAGAACTTTTGCAAACATTCAGAGATGAAGGAATCTCTAATTATTTAGTTGTTTATTTACGATTGGTTACTTCAAGTCATTTACAACAAAACAGTGAATTTTTTCAGAACTTTGTTGATGAGTATAGAACTGTTGAAGATTTCTGTAAAGGGGTAAGTTCAATAATTACCATTTCTTCTATTGCGCAATAAACAGTGGTTTTAATCCAATTGGAAGTTTATACATTTTTTCTTCAGTGGATAATTGAAATATCTCTACAATTGACCTGACAAAATGTTTTATAGATTTATATGACGTATTTATATTCCTCTCACTTCTAACAAGGCTATGCTCAAGCAACCACGGTTATGTAAGCAGGGGCGTGTCAAACTTTTCTGCTGCTCGGGGGGGGGGGAGTTTCTGATAATAATGCGGCGGATGCCCCTTATAACTAATTCCAAAAATAATTAGGGGGATAAACAATTTATTGTTGTTATACATGAATAGAATAAATAGAGAATGAATAAATTAAAGGTTAAGTGAGAGTGAAATGTTTGTATCATTGAATAAATCATCAAACTAAGCAGCCGCTCTTGCGGCCCCCTGTAGACAGGACCCCCTGTAAAGGGCTATTCTAGCGGATGATCGAAATTTTTTGGTTTGATGTTGCCTATCCAATTTTAATCTGGGTGGTGGCCTGGTGGGCATTGGATTTTACCCTGTGACACCATAGATAAGTCTAATTAATGCTTTAATTGCCACTGTGCTGACAATTCTGTATTTCATTTCTTGTGGGATGGTCATGTGCAAAAGGATTACTGGTCAGCTGCAGCTTCCTCAGCCAGCTACATCCTTCCAGATTAAGCAATAAAAATCGTTATTTATGTGCTCTGCTACATGATCAATAAATAGTCCTATCAGTTTCTTAAATATAAAATTCTATTCTCACTGAACTACTATGAATTGTTTGAAGCAACTTTGACCCAGTGAATTTTTAAAATGTTTTGGAACCTAAGGTTTTGAGTTCTCTTTATTACGATCATATAATATTTTTATAAGGCAAACTAACAATTACAATACAACAATATTTTTTTTTCAGGAGGTTGAACCAATGGATAGAGAGAGCGATCATATTCATATTATTGCGACAACAACTGCCTTAAATCTCAGCATTCGAGTAGCCTATGTAGATAGAACTAATTCGGAAGAAATTATTTACCACGATTTTCCTGAAGGATCAAGACCGCAATTACATTTATTGTATCGACCTGGTCACTATGATATATTATATCCAAGATGAACAAAAAAGGATGTAAGACTCGTATACATATAAGCAATGTTGCTACACATGCACCTACACATCTAGTCCAAGATTCTGCTGCTGTGATGCCCAATACTTGCTGCAAGTCTTTTTTTATGCTTGCCATCAGAAGTAAAGATTCCTAGTGTGGTATTTTAACACTGACAGCTGAAATTCATCTGAGTGAATGTGGATCAATTTGATCATACCGCAAATGCCCAAATTGTGTGTGGTTTATATGGTATTTATAGCTTATTTATGTTTTTTACTATATACATGCGGATTTTGATGACATTATCTTCTTGAGAGCATCTTTCATGTGTTAATATATCTGCTAATTATAGAATACTTTGTTGATATATTCTGTCCCTTGAACTTAAGACGCAGGATAGATTTGTTTGTAGTCTTTACCACTGTGCAGAGAAAAGTTGCCAGAATAATTTGTAGCAAAGTTCCATTACGAAGATAAGTCCTAGTGAAACATGTGTTGTTACCAGAACTTTTACACCAAAAATGTGGGTATTGAACCATGTAAATAGCATAAATATTCTACAGTCCCCGTCCCAATTACAATCAATGCTTTACATTGTTCACGACCAGATAGATTTTAGCGGTTCCATGAGCTCAGAAATCCCAAGTTAAAAATGGTCTAGTAAGTTGAGAATACTGGCTATTCGGACACAGTGCAACACAGCTCTTATTCGTATAAACCCAAAGATTTCCCAACCGGGGAGGCATTTTGTCCTTATTACGGGACAATTTTGCTGCTGTACTACTTGTTCTCTTTAGTATTATTATAATTCTTGTTTATGCCCACAATTATAAACTACTTGAGTCTTACACCTTGAGACTTGAGTCTGAAAACGTTGGGAATAATTGCTTTAGAACTGACTAAGGAATCATGGATGGGACTCACGGGAGTGCAAAAACAATAATCAGATAGCAGGCGATAACATGAATGACTTTGTGGTGGTGAGTTCCTCACATGGACACAATTAATACTCACAGGATTGGAGCTTGAGAACTCCCACAGATTTGTTGCTTGTGTGATTTTATTATCTAGCACAATACACCATCATCAAACTCTTTCTTGAATATTCAATGGAAGTAATGCTATATTATAAGTGGTGGCTTTCACATCAAATTTTGCAGAAACTTAAGAACGGTCCAGATCAGATTTCTAAAATTAATTTGGGATTGGCATCAATTACTGCATGAATATGATCCAAAACAGTTTCACCTGCTTTTTAGCAAACAACCATTTATTTGCATAGAAATCTTCTCTGCAAGATCCTCCATCAAGCAAGGTAATGTATTCCTAACAATAAATTCTTACATTTTACATAAATTATTCTCGGTCTTCAACTAAAATCAAATCTTCTTTATTACCAGCAACTTTATTGCACCAAAATACAAAGACAATCAAAACGATTCATGAATTGAATAAAGTACAAAGTGCCGTTAGCGTCCCAACGAACTAACATTTAGGAACACTTCAATTCATACTTTATATTTTCACAAACATAAGACTTTATCATATTGTAATAATAATAAATAAGGACTGCAAAATAATGTAGTTCAGCCACGATGAATCGGAGAGTGCAGTTGCAATTCTGCAGCTGTCTTTCATTGATGCCACATCATGAATTTCAATTTCGGTCACCCATCTGTTATTTTATCGAAATACCCGCTCAGAGCAAAGTCATAGGCCGACTGTTAATGATACTGAACGGTTGACTGCCATGCTTTTCAGACTGGCACGAACAAGGACTGTCTGCCTATTTAGACAGCAAGGCCTGTACGCCTTTTCGGAGACAAATTTAAGACTCGGAGGCAACAAAGTACGGTCGAGATTGCCATGGCGACTTATTTAGTTGTAATTCCGATCCCTGTCATATGAAGCTCTTGAAACACTGCGGAACATAGTTCGAGAAACGCTGGGGTAGGTGAACACCTCAAGTTAGCTCACTACTACAATCTTGTATCTCACTATCAGTATGCTATCACTGATGTTGAAATCAGCTAGACTCTCCAGTTACATCCATTCTCAATCCAGATTCCTTATCATCAGATTGTACTGATTCATCAACACCATTCTCCTGTTTTTCATTTTCAGTTGTTACATTGTTGTCACCTGAATCTAGAACCAATTCTTCTTTTGCAGGTAAAAATGGCTCAAGTGGCCGTATGATATCCGCAGTGTCCATGTGACCAATTTTTCCAAATTTAGATTTGAGTTGTGAGGGTGTTATGCCAAACATATTCCCAATCTCATTGGAAGGAAAAAGTAACGTCAAGCATTCTTCTATATGTGGGATCATGTCTTGACAAAAGGCAGTGCTATATCTGAATGCAAAATATAGTAGTTTATAGTTAAGACGGCTCAAACTCTTCTCAACACAGTTAAGACTTGATTTGAGACTCGAAAATAACTTTGGGACTCAAATATAGTCATTGATAAGCGTAATAAAAACTTTGAAGGAATATATTTATCACGTTGACTACTTTTGCATTGAAAAAATAAAATAACTAATTGGTTGCCGCTTAAAATCGACAATATCGTATAATTATCAAAAAATATTGGTTTCAAGGAAAGACACAAATGTTTTGAGTCTTCGTATCATTGTGACTCATCCCAAACCCAGTAGCAAATAAACTTGACTTGGGTCTCGGGAATGACCCGTAGACTCGAGAGACAGTGTAATGCATAGGTTCTCAAAGTGCTCCATACGGTGCCCCAGGGCTCCGTGAGAAAACCTTAAGGGCTCCGTGAGCTGTTCGTTTACTATTAAAATATTGATTTGGATAATTTTTTTGCTTTTGTTTTTATAAATTTATTCAGGGGCTTCATAACACCAAGAGTTTGAGAAGCCCTGGTGTAATAAACAAAGAAGAGATATTATAAATTTCATCCTATACCTGTTAAAAGCTATCCTTTCCTTGTCACTAAAAGCAGCTTCTTCTGTATGATAGAATCCAAGTATATCTGCGACTACACATCGCAAAGATTCCATTAGTGTGGCTGGAACAAGAGGTGCAAGAGCAACAGGACAGCAGAGTCTTAAGTCGTTGAAAGCAGCAAGTACATTATTAAGATAAACGCCTAGAGGTGGAAATTCTAGGAGAGATGCAGGTGGAGAATTAGTGGATGATCCATAACTCGCAGACATGCTGGATGTCATTGATCCTGTTGATAGAAATAGAAAATGAGTTTGAAACTTTTCATTAAATACGAGAGAGCTATGCTCAAATACGTGGACATGAGGGATTAATATGGCCGCCACAACGTCAGCTAAATTTCAGCTGAGTGTTAAAAGAATTGTACTGAATATAATATGAAGTTGTGTCTGTAAATTATAAAAACCAGAAAAATTTCGTATGAAATAACTTTTCGTGAATAGTCACGTAAATTTAGAAAAAATAGAGTAGCATCAGACGAGCAACATCTTCCATCTTTGAATCCCAAAAGTTTGAAATTGATTGGTTTATTAGATGCAAAAAATGATTTTTCACAACCCCAAGAAGAACAATAACAACTTATCAAAACAAGCACAGGCCAAGTTTATGTTAAAAAAATCAACAATATTGGTTTCAATGGCAATGGAGTTGAAAATTTCCAGCTTGAAGAGAATTTTAAATTATTCACATTCGAGAAATTGTTTTTTTATGAAACAAAATTTCCATCTGACAAGCCAAAACAATGAATTGGTAATGCACTTTCAAATTACTCCTGAAGATTCAATTGTTCATGCGAGACTTATCTTCAATACAGCCCAAATCACAATAATATCATCCATTCAAAAATTGTTCAAAAAATTCATAATAGTAACAATTCCATCTTGACTAGCTCTATGATATGGTACCATACCTGTCATTGATTGATTATATGCAATAGAAGTTGTGATGAGTGAAAACGACATCATATCAGTCGCAAACTCTTGTGTAGCAGCATCAATTGTTTGTTTGAACATAGAGTGGGCAGCGTTCTGAAATCTGGGAATTAAAAGTCCGCGAAAATCTGCCCCAACTCTACTGAATGATAATCCAAAATACATGCATTGTCCAAGAACAGAATCAAGTCTGTTTCCAACTCCTAGATAAGTAAAATTCAGTTTACAAAGCTGTGTTAGTGATTGATAAGCTAGTATTTTACAATTTCAATCCATCATTTATTTTGGTTCTCTGACTTAAACAATACAAAGGGTAAACAGACAAAACAAATTGCAGAGATACCTGGGAGACGGACTTGAAAAAAGTTAAAAAGCGTACAATGTACTCAACGCCCACCAAAAAAATAAAACAAACACAGAAAAACGCGATTTACAATCGGGCCGTACTTTGAAAGCAATTTAACAAAAACAGCAAATTGAAGGAGATAATTGAATGTAATAATTTCGTTTTGTCTTTAGAAATATTTTTACTATACAACACCTATTTCACGCCTTTTGTTTTGAACAAAACTGTAAGCACTGGAAGGAACCCGAATTTTTACGGTTCGGCATTGCCTACTCAATTTATTACGCCCAAGGATACTCCTGCCAATGATGCCAATAAATTAAAAGAAGTAAACACAAATAAAAGAACCATACAGCATATGATACATAGTAGTTGTCAATCGGAGGAGCTTAATGTTACAGTTCTATTTAAAATCTAATCCATAATCAAAATATTACTGTCTACCATAGTTACAATTTCATCAAGTTCAAGCACGCACTAAAAAAAATTTTGTTAGTAAAACCAATAACAACATAGTCAATATAAAAATCATCAATAGATACCCTTAGCTAGATCTTTTTCGAGAGTGTCCAGAAATATGGAAATCCTGTACACTAGCCAGCTGTAAAATACTGAAGTGTCTCTAGGTTTGTCTTGCAAATTATCATTTCCTTTTTGTGTCGGTAAGAAAGAATATGCCAGATCTGTTTCATCAGAGAAAATTGCTCTGTATTGAGTAACAATGTCAAATAGATGGATTCGACAGGCTTCGATTGTTCTGGTAACATGAGTGTAAGCTTCATCATTTGGAATCGCATCAAGTATGCTTTCTAGCCAGGAATTGCGAGCCTGTGGAAAAAAAGAAATTTGGCAGCTGTTTAATTTTAAAAACCTAGTGCTGACTAGTTTGATGTCAGTAGTTGATTGAAAAGTTAGCATAGAATAGCATAGGGGTACAGCAAGTTCGTAAATTGCAAATGGTTAAGAACCATTGGTATAGAGAATAGTTCTTTAGCTGGTTTTGTAATTGACACAATTTAAACCCAGAAAAGCTCGCAAACAACAAATTTTAAAATTTGAGATTTTGGGACTGCACTGATCGTCTGAAGCAGAAGTCAATATTTGAAATCCAAGCCAAATATTTGTCAATCCTGCAGAAGATAATTTTGTGATATCTCCTGCATCAGAAGAAGCTTTTTTCATACCGCTGATAAAATTGATACAGTCGCAGTAAAATAACATAACTTGAAAGCAAATAACTGCAATGACAGTCACTGATAAAATCCTTCTCCAAAGATAAAAAATATATAGCCCAGTTCTCAGGATCAAGCTGTATTTTTTCAAGTCTACAAAGTGAAATTTTGTTCAAGACAAAAAGGTAAATACCTGTAAAAACTTCAATCTGAGTTCAACTTCACTGAAACAATCTAAACGTCTCAAATATCCAATTATACGTAAACAGGCCGGCAATTGTATTCCAGTTCGAAGTTGTGAGAGTAAATGATGTAGCATTAGTTGAGCAGATTTCTTGACATCATTGATAATACTTCCTGTACATTCACAAAGACAATATTTTGAAAAGGAGCTAAAAAGAAACCAAACGATCGACAAAACTTACCATGTACCCTCGCAGAGTTTTAAACTAAAAAAAGTTGCCAAACTAAGGGGTTGGCTAATACGCAAATAACTCTGATCGCACTCAAACGAAATGACATTATGCTAACTTAATTCCAACAGCTACAACTCTTACCATGCTAAGTTATCGTGATAAGAGTGTGCACTCACACACACGAAGGTACGCGCTTGGTACGCTATGACAGCGATAACAGTCTGTGATTGTTTGTCAGGCAATAACAGTCTGTAAGGTCGGCTTATATGTGAAGTTTTATGAATTTATCATTTCCATTGCTCTTAATGACAAAAACAAAAGTAACACAAAAACATGTACGGTACTAGACACTAGTAAACAACTGTAAAGTGGGAATTTTGAAAATAATCACCAATTTACAACATCACATAACAAACCTAGTACTGGTATATCAGTGATGATGTGCTTCTTTTCCATTCTTTTTACATAAAACATAAGTTCTAATGCTTCATCATAATATTGATTCCTAACACACGTGTCCATTAGTTGTGGAATTTCAAGAATCTAAAAATTAAAAAACATAAGAAAACGGGTGACAGATGCTGATTTAAGCAACATGCCATGAATAATTTGTTTCCAGCTATCCTTATTAAGGACACTTATACTGAAATTTCAAAGTTTCTGTTGGATGTTCCATCTGTTTTTATCAAGACAGTGTAATAAAACCTACCGGTAGTTTTATTTGTAGCGTAGAATTCATAGCAAAATATAGTATTTCAAAGAGTTACATTTATAGTGAGCCTGACATGGAAGCGAAAGATTAAAAAAGTGGTTGGTCCTATACTTTTGATACCAAAAGAAGTAATGAATCCTTTCTAAATAAAATGGTACATTTCAGTTGCCTGCAAATAACTATTAAAATACTTCACACAGTCTTCAAGTTGTATATTTTTTTTTATAAATTGAAGTATACCAATAGATCATACCTCAAGAATTTGAGTGTGTCTTGTTAAAGTTAATGAATTAGATCTTCGCGATGCCCCAATATTTTGTGCAGCTTGCATGAAGGATTTGGCTTTTTCTGATAATGAAGGAAGTTTATCAATCATCCCTTCAAGCCTGTCTTCAATAAGGCTAAAATCCTGAAATTGAGAACAACTCATCAATCTGTAATACTTTGAAAAATTATTTCTACAGGCACAAGCAGCCGTATTATTATTTTTTTTTGCAATGTACCGGTATTCATATGTCTTTTACTCTGAACAAGTCTCTGCACAAGCAGTTGCTGCTCGGAAAAGAGTTACTATACTTTGAAAGGAGTAGAATATTTTCAGTCGGGCATTACCTACCCAATTTATTACACTCTGGGTGAAGGAGTAGGCATGGAATTTGAACCCGAGATTTTACCCTGCGATGCCATTGTAGTTAAGTCGACACGCTTTTTGCCTCAAGCTCCTAGTCAGAAGGCATTGTTTTAGCTATGAACAATATGTCAGGAGGATAAGACTTCACTGGTATATATATAAAGAGAGAGAGATTAATGTAAAATCTGGTAATTACGCATTCTATCAATGTTTACTTATTATCGGTAATTATTTAATTCATCAATTACGACACAGTAAAAGTATACAGCTAAAAAAATAGAAAATGGAGTACTGACTTGAAAAATATCCTTCGAGCACTCAGCAGTTTTGATGAAGGTTTTATAATTATGGAATGCAAGATCTTGTGTTTGTTCTAATACATGAGATTTTTCTTCATCCAGTCTATCAGGCTCTCGATTTAATTTTTCAATTCCATAAGAACTCAACTCCGACAAATAAGTAACAAACTCTGAGTCACTCCTCCAACTGTAACAATATAAAAAATAATATATATAATCGAAAACAATAAAAATGAATTTTTTTTGAAAATCGTAAATAACGAGAAATAAAGGGCGACCCCCAAAAACAGATCCTGGGCCATTTGGAATGTATTTTATAGAAACATAAATTTTGTGCAAAAGCGCCCCAGATTACACAATCTTTTGGGTACAATCATATACAAACAGAGGTTCAAGTATTAAATATGTACTTTTCTTTTTCATAGAAGTAACTAGAAAATTTATTGCTTCCATTTTGGGGGAAGTCACGCCCTATATAATAGTGGATGAGCATAAACCAAGACTTGGTACCAAATCAAAATGTCCAAACCTCAGTCTGTAAAATAATTGAAAGCCATATTGAACTATTGAAATTCCCTTTTTGCCAAAATATAGTCTGAATAATTCCAATTTCCACATGGTATTATAGCACAAAAAATTTTCCAATACCTTTCTGGAAATGAATCTTTGAAAATAGATGTTAAAACACTTTCATCATCAATATCAATCTTCGAAGTTGTAGAGCTCATTATGGCTAATATTTCTGACTCTGAGATATTTTTAAACATAATATGATATGAAATATTTTGCATGATGCAATATATCAGTTAATCAGTCAGGAAAAAGAAATGAACCGACATGTGAACGTCTAAACATTGGCAGACTTGATCCAGGCAGTATGGCATAATCTCTTAGCAGGAAAAAGTGAACAGTGACAATATTGCAAATATTTTTATGAAAATAGAAAGACCATTACAAATAGATCTAAAATAGTATGATCATTATATTGAGATCGATAGTAAGTAAATATTAAAAATATAAAACTATGATACAACATTGTTTTATAAAAAAAGAAAACAGAGGTATAACAACGCCCAGAGAATGGTGGTAAGAGTAATAGGTTCAAATAGAAAATACTCCAATTGAGCAGCATCCGTATTCGACCAAATGACAACTTCTTGAAGTTTGCCTGGTAATTTTTGAATATATGCTGATGATAGTATTGTAACACCAGCAAATTATGCTTCATAACTTCTGCATCACAATGATATTTCACAATGTTCTCCTTTCCATGAAGTAAAACATTGGCAAGACACTCTAGGTTCATTAGAACTGTACTCGACACCTTGCAACACATCATACATGTTATAAATATTATCAGAAAGCTTACTTACAATATCCATAACTTCATCGATAAAAAGAAATCTTCTTTTAGATACTTTATGATTATCTACAAATTTAGAAATAACGCATCTACCATGACCATTACAGTTATCCTTACTGCAACGTGTGGCAGCGTCAGACAACTTTTTACAGTAAGGACCAAGAAAGTCATCCATATAGTTACTAAGATTTTGACAAGCCTCAACTGAATTACCCATATTATTTCCACCCCAAAATACAACTCCCGATTCACCAAGAACCGCTGCAATGCCAATACTATCTAGAAGATCTTGAGAGTCCAAAAATTTAATTGTCTTTTTATATGAAAGCATATGATATGAAAATACAGGAGCACTAACATTACTAAACCTTGCATCATCAACTCTCATTGCTTCTCGAATTCTATTTGCAACATAATTTTTAACGAAGTCTTTGTCTTCGTAAAATTCAGGTAAATATACAGAAGGATACAATGCTGTGCTTTCATCAAAAAGCCATTGTATTTCAGTATTTTTCTTCATTTCCAAATTTGAGCAGATCATATCTTTTTTAGTCATGTTGTAATAACGACAATCTGGATACAAATAATAACCCCACAATGCATGAGGCCTCAAAATCTCTCCAAGTACTAGTATTGGTTTTAAAATTCTTTCTGTCGCTAAGTTATATTCCAATGTCGCCCACCGAAGTTGTTGTGCTTCGTTCCAATCAGGGTGTTCATGTTTTATCGATTCTATTGATTTTTGTTGATATATCTTCATCAATGGATCACCCATTCTACTGAATAATGCTCGCCATAATTCCCAGTCCAGAATAGCTAAACCCTGAAAGTCCTTATCTGGTATAAGTTTATTCACAGTGATCTCAAAGTCAGTTAAAATTGATTTTAAATTTGCCGCTTGCGGTAGACCACCATTGACAGCTTGTCCTGTTTTCCGATCAAAATATGGAAATTTGGACAAATTGTTTTGATAAAATATAACAAGATTTTCACCCAATTGTCCTTTGTTCTTGTTGTGGATAATATCAAAATAGTCTAAGTTCAGTTTTACCCCAAATTTTTCTTCACATAAATCGCTCGAAACATCCCATACAAATACAAAAGGTTTGTCGACGAGTGGAGGATTGTGGATGGAAGGTTTGATTTCAATTTAGTCTCTCTTCATGTGGCATGTAGACAAAGTAATCCAAGACAAGATAAAGGCAAAGCCTAATATTCTAAACATTTTATCCTGATAATCTAAATATAAGTACAGATAATATTGAAAAATGAACGGTGCCATATAGTAGTATAGAATATAGGCTCAAATAGTAAATATTTATCAGTTTTATTTGCTTTAATTTAATTAACAATTCAAATCATAAAAAGCAGATTTTCACATATAATTAATACAAAATCACATGAAATGGGCCAGATTCAAAACATTGAATAGAGATGGAATGAAAGTGCAATAATCAACAACTCTTAATAACTATATTTTTTATCAACAGCACACCATCGAAATGTTTTTATGCAGAAATCTTCAATTTAAACGATTGTAAATCAGTTCCATCAAAAATTACCGACATCTATTACAATGTGTATTAAAACATATTGCACAAATTCTGGAGCCATATAAAATGAAACAAATTCTAAATTAATTTAAAATTGGTTGACAAAAAAACTACTCAGAAGTCCGCAATACGTAGCAGAATCATGTTATAAAGTCACTAAAAACAATAGCGCATTAAATGAAGATTCACAATAGCACAAATCTGAATAATAGAGAGTTGAAGAGGATTATACTTGGTAGATATTGAAATTGAATTTGATCTAATGTGGCTGTTTGTTGCGACAGACAATATGTCTCAAAATCCTGAATAATAGCAAAAAAAAATTTTTTTGAATGCATTTCTATCATTTCACATTGATTAAATCAAGTGATATACAGCTCACTTATTTATGAGTGCTTCTCAACATCCGTATATATTTTTTAGCGAATGAAAATCATATTATCATTTCAATATTATTCTTTATCAAAACAGGCAGTGATTGAAAATAATGTAGTTGAAGTACAGTATCTACCGGTATATCTCCCCCAAATCTACTTCCACAAATGTTATTGTTCAAATCAAATTCCTCTTTCGTAGTGAATGAAAATCAAATTTTAATTCGAATATCATCCTTTATTACAACAGGCAGTGATTGAAAAAAATGTCAGTGGGGTACACAACATATCTCCTCCGAATATACCCGAATCTCTATTCATCAGCACCTGGGGGAATAATTTCTGACAGAACAATTCAACCCAACATAGTTGTACAGTTTCCATCATATTATAATGCGAATCAGGCATAATAGAAATAATTTGAGCATGATACAAGGAATATACAACCTAGCTTTCATAGCATTTGGAACAATTTTCAAGCAAAAAAAAGTTCTCCATCAACTAGAAGTTTGTTTAATAAAATCTCTTCTCAGATCTGTAAGTTGTTTAGGAATTTGTAAAACACATTTTTGAATTTTGTTTTCTATCAGTGGCAACAATGACTCGGCAACAAACATGGCATTACGTTTGATGAGTCGTGCTTTCTCAGGTCTTTCTTGTTCACAGCGGAGACAACCAGCAACAAAATCAGTGTAGCATCGTTCGATTTCTTCAACAGAATCAAGAAGAAGTTTTGAATTTCCGGTAGGTACATTTTTATCACACTGTCCACATGAATAACAATGGCTCTTGTAAAAGCTAATGTTGAAAGTGTGAGATAGCAGAAGCAATCATCAAAGCATATTGACCAATGTTTAAATTCCATATCCAGTCATTTCTTCTTGTATTTTCAAAAGAGCTGTGGTGTCTTAGCATTAGTTGGTTTCCACAATTCTTCAGAGCTACGTAGCTTAATAGCATCAATCAATTTTTGCTTATGATCTATGATTGTTGATTCAATGTCTTGTACAAGCAGTGAAGTAACAGCAAATCCAAATCTAATCCAATGATATGAACAGCCTTGCTTTGAGAAACACAGTTTTTGTGCAGTCTCCTATTTCAGCAATATCAGCTTTCTAGTGAAAACTTGTTGCGAAATTTTTTCCAACAAATACTTTAATCTCCGTTTGTGACCAAAACGACAAAGGTAGAGTAACAACCAGGATGATCTTTAAAAGCAGTTTCAAATTCTTTAAGTGTTTCTTTAGATTGTTAAAAAAAACTTTACACATTTTAGCAATGTATAATTGAAGATATTCCCTCTGTTCTTAAATTGTTTAAGAGCATATGCAACTGCACTAGAGCGATTGTGTTAGGAATAACTGACAGGGCTTTGGTACTTTCCCCCAAGCTTAATGAGAAGCAAAACAGGATTCCGTGCTGCTCTGGGACCACCACGATGACTTCGATCAGGAGCAGTTTGTAGTTCTTTGGTCAACACACTCACAAGTTGAGACGTTCTTTGCTGATACTTAGCGTCGACTTCTTTCTTTGTTGCACTTTCACCAATGCCATCTAAAAAGGCTTTTGTCTTTAACACTAATTCTACAGCTTCTTTGAAATAATCGCTGGGCAATGTAAACATCTAAATCTTCAGGCATTTCTTGAATCCAAACCTCATTTAATTTATCATTATCCAGTGATGCATTTCCTTCCAATCTTTTTTGACCCTGATGATTTACCAAGGCGATTCGAAAAAGGATTAAACGGATCTAAATTTGGTGACATAGGAGTTGTAGGTGACACAGGGAATTATGTTCTCTGTCTGCCAAAAACTTTTTCTTTGTTTCTTCTAAAATGTCAAGCCATTCTCTTTTTTCCTTTTGAACTTTCACATTGAAACATATTGGAATCAGGAAAAATCAAAATCTTGAAAGCACATTTGACTGGTCCAGCATCTCGAGCAATTGATAACGGCCAGATTTTCCAAATCAAAAAGACATTCAAATTTATATTTACCAGGGACTGGTTGTCCTCTTCTAAACCAGCCCAGGTTGTCACCATCAACGCATTCATTAAAAAGAAATGATTGAACTTTACGAATGGGAAGAAAATTATCCATATCAAGCTCTGAAGATCACCATCATGAATAAGAAATCTAGTAAGAACATCAAGTGATATCTGGACACCCTTGAACTTTCTCTACTAAAGATCTCATAACTTTACGTTGCTCATCTTTTTTTGATATTTTCTTTGCTCTTTTTTTCATTTGCACCATACTGTGGCTGTTCTTTTATGAGAAAAATATTTGCCATCGAATCCATAAGATTTTTTTTGCTCTGTTAATATATGATTGAGCTGAAACATTTCACCCTCAACGTAAGAAATTTCTTTTGCAGTTTCCAATGAATTGCTCATAGTATTTATAGAACTTGTTCTTTCAAAATATGAGCAGTTTCTTCACCCAATGTCTGTACTGCTCTGTTTGTGCTCCTGTAGATCTTTTATCTCCATCTGATTGGGCACTGATGCTCTTTGCATATTGCTTTGGATCAAAGTTTCTGTGTCCAATCGTCTTTGCTAAAGCAGTAGACTTTTTAGGCACAGGTTGAGGAAGCACTTTCCATTCTAATATGACAATTATTTATACCAGTACTGAAACATTGTCAAATAAAGATTAGGCTACTTGTTTGAAATATGAATTTAGAAGGAGCAGAAGAGAAATGTAAAGTTAAACTAATAAATTCATGTGTTGAGTTCTAAACTTCTTAGATTGCGCTTAGGAATTGTTTTCATAACCAGGATTGCATATAGCACCATTCACTTTAAAAACCAAGCCGATATTACAAAAAATGTTGACATTTTGCTGCTGATACTATATTATAAAAGTATTTCGCTCTTGTCTGCTTGTAGACTATAGAGCATGGTTATTAAGCACAAATCAATGTCCTATAAAGAAACATTTAAAATAAATTTATGTTCTCAATTTTATATCAAAACGGATACGTAATATTCCAAAATTATGTCACTACGACATCACAGTGACGAAATAAGGCATGCCAAAATATAAGAACTGTCGTCTAAAACGAAATCATGCCCTCAAAATCGAGAAATGACACAAAGATGAGGAAACACAGAAACAAGAGAGAGTACGGTACCGGTATGAGCATACTTTGTATTCTATCTTGCTCAATTTGGGTGATCGTTTGCGTGTTTTGGGCCTTTGTCCTGTCGTCTGTAGACTATATTTTGTATTTTCGTGGACCCTTAAACCCTCTCCCCACTGTCCTGTTAGAACAATTAGTGGTACTGAATTATGACTCAATAATTGAGTAGGTAGGGAATCTTTAATACCGGTAGGCTATTTGTGATACTGAAATGAGCTACCGGTACTCATTTAACAATCATTAAGATAGAATCAATTTTCCATATTTATTTCCAGATGACTTCAAAACGTCAAATACTGAAATATAATTTATGAATAAGATTTACCGTACCAATATACTGAATACCGGGTTCAATGCACTCGAAAATCTTTTGAAATACGCAAAGGAAATCACTACCGTATTTGACTATGCAAAACGTAAAAATTTAAGTCTGGGAAGTTAACGTTTTTGGGGTGAAAGGTCGGCCGATTTTATTCCGTCATGAGCTTCACTAGGTGGCGATTATAGTCACCATAGTAACTGTATCAGCTGATCGCTTGCAAGTCTTGTCACAATTTCTTCTGAGTGACTTTTTCCCAAAAATGGCTGCTGCTGCTGCGGGGAAGGTAGGGAGGCAAGTTGCCGGCCTTGCAACTACGTAGCCAACGATGAGATTTGGTGAGTGAGAGTCGGATATCGGAAAAGTCATACCGGTATACCAGGACAATGTGTCATTTTGCAGTATGCAACACATTTTAATAGACAGTACCGTAGCCTGCCTATCACCAGTAGTGTCTAACCGTTATTCATATGATCTCTGTATCTAGTCAGTAGACTATCATAATTTTCACTGGAGTTGCTTTGTTTCAGGAAAAGTCATGTTCATATGGAGTGGTCAGCATCGAGGAAATGGCCTCAGAATTGGGTTTCATGACCCAAACTTATAGAGAGGTATGAATTGTAATTTTCACAAATGATCTGCAATCTTTTACATTATTGTACAATTTTGTGCCAAAATTCCAAAGTGTTTTTCGTTATTGATTGTATTGATTAACAAATGTGCCTTTAAGATTCTAGAAATGATCAATTATGTGATATGTACCGGTATACTAATTTTAACTGCAAAAAACTGATTTACACAGTTTTGTAACAAATTGTGTTTGTATAGGTGAGCAATCTCAGTCCATTGTACCCACTTACTGTGGTGCAATTTGCGCATAAGGTTACTTTGATTGAACCTTGATAAAATAGCTATTGTTGTTTTAATCAAATATGCTTCAACTATTGCAGCTGGCAGAAGATGGTGAAACAGAGGAAGAAAAACCGTCAAAACCCAAAGTAGAACTTCCAGAACAGCTGCGGTTACCTCCGATCACACCAATTGAAAAATACATAAAAGTTGGAAAATCACCGCCATATCCAGGAACTACAACAAGAATGATTGGCTGGCGATCGACAAAACGAGACTGCAGTCTTGAAATATACGGTCCGTATGCCAAAGGCAAGGGCGGTCTTGTGAAACAGCTCAACTGGCCACAAGAAGGAATTATATAAATATTTTTTATTATTTTAATTAGTGTGATAAATTTTTAGTTGAATATTTTTTTTTGACTTAGCCTGCACGGTACAACACTTTTAGTGCAATTTACACAATATCTTCTTTCAAATTCCAGCAGAATTATGTATTGGGTGTCTTCTCACTTCACTAACCTAATTCATATGTCACACTTTTCAACTGTATCAATGAAACTAATACTCGTTAGCTATTATAATTTAGTTGTCTGCAACTCGTACAAATTATGTCCTCAAGTTTCACAGCCTATACACAAGTTTTCTTAGTATTATGCACTTGCCATATTTTCAATGAGATTATGTAGTTAATATCTGAAGCACTGCTTCCAATGTAATGCCATTTTGTATTAATCGTAGCACATATATATTTCATTTAATAATGCACAGTTATCTAATAAAGTTGGTATGCATGTTGATGATACTTGTATTTCTATGAATTCAACGTGGCAAGAGTTTGTTGGCAAGTGCTCACAATGAACAGTAGCCTTGGTTGGTGCCTTTCTGACATAGCATTTTTCCCTCAAATCAGCTAAGCTTGAAATAATATTTTCAGAATTTAGAGGAAACAACGCATTGCTGATGTTAACACGAACTTTTGAACAATGTTGTTCATGGATTGTCACCAAACTTCTTTGGTGAATTTAAGGCGAAATTACTATTACACCATATAACATGGCAATCATATAAAGTCTGTATATTCAATTGGCAGCTGTGAAAGGGATAAACTTTAGGCTTTAGTATTACCAAATCAATTTTTACTGGCTGATGTTAGTTTTATGCCACACAGCTAACTGAATATATTGTGAGAGCTACTAATCACGTCAAAGGAACTAGGTAACCACTGGCGAAGATAGACTGTTCAAAATCAATTGGTTGATTGCTCCGGTGTTGAAAATACAGGTCCTAATGTCCAGCAGCGATTTAATAGATGAATACTCAACATGAGTTATTTGTTTTGCCAACTGCAAAATGTTTTCATATACATCTCATGCCATACATCTTTAAGCTTCAAACATTAGGAAGTTAGTGGCTCTTCCACTGAAACATATCTCTGAGCAACTACAATATCTGATACCGAAACGCTAATATGATTGATGGTATTCAACCAATTACCAGGATCTATGGTTACCACAGACTATGCTTTACAAGATATATTTATTAACATACAGAAGTGTATCTGAGAAGCAGAAAAAAAAATAAGTTGATGGAATTACAATAAACTGGAATAAATTTTGATTTCTCAAAAAAAGGTAAAGACTACTACATTACTATCATCACTAGCACAGTGAAAAAAAAACAGAATAATACAATATATGAATATCACTGTGTTATAAATAAAGTACCATTAATGACAGAGCTCAGTGCTTTATAGTACAGCTTAGAGCTATGTCTATATGATATTTCATAATAAATTCAAAGATGCGAAACTCATTGTCTAAGCAAGAGTCCTGGAATCAAGTTTTTTGTTACATACTTTAAAGAGACCAAGAATGTCTCAATGTTAATCAATTAGGCAGTACTTATAACGGTACTTGTTTCTTTTGCAATCATCATAGTGGTTTAAAATATTCCATACACAATATAGAAACATTCGATACCATTTTTAAACAACAGAGTCTTCAAAAATCCACCTCCACACAGTTCCAATTGAAAATAAAATTCCAATTTTGCCTAAATCATGTTTTGTAATTGATGATCAAGCAAAGATTAGATTCCACGTCCTAGCAACTTCACAGAAAGATTGAAATTTGTTTCAGTTTGAATGACAAGAGTTCCCTCAAACTCTCCCTTTGCAGTTGGTTTGAAGGTGACTGGCAGACAAGCATATGACATCGGCCTTAATTCATATTAGAAGTAAAGTTAATGTACTTAAGTTAAATGTGTTTCACTGCACAAACCTATCTGCCCCAACCAGAATACAAAGACATTGTTAGTTGTCATCTTATCATTACGAGGCATTTGGATTTTTGTTTTACAGTATTATAGTACCCACAATCTAGAATCAAGCTGACAATACCTAGTCAGTGTCCTGAAAATTTTGGAAGACCAAAAAAGTCGCTAATAAGAAGTGCAATTTTTACAAGGATAATTTTGTTAAAATCACCCACTGTTTATCAGCGTAACATGGTTATTTAGGCGGTGAACAATTTATTTTGATTATCTATATTTCAGCAAGTTCCCTTTTCTCAGAAGCATGTCAAGTAAAAAAACGCAATATTATGCGATCATTGGCAATACATTACGCTCAGTTGCCTCTGGGAAGTACACCATAGTCACTGTAGCTAAAATGGTCATATATGCACACAATGTACTTTCTTTTAATTTTTAAACTGCCGTCCGTACGTATCCTCTTTTCGGATTACGATGATACATAACTAATCAATGTAAAGTATGCTTTATTTCCGAAACGCTAAATGTAGATTTCGAACCCCGCCTTTGAATAACTTTCAAACTAAAAAAAAAAGTAACTTTTACCTGATAGTATGTCGCTGATGTGTGATGTGAAATGGAGGTCGAACATTGATGAATTTAACCTGAACAATTAAATAATGTTTAAGAATTTTAGATAAAAATATTGTTAAATAAATCTATTCAGATTGAACCAAATCACACGTATATAAATAAGACACAGGAAAGAAAAAATATCACTAGAAAACTAGTAAGCAAAACTGGGGAATACAATACACAGAATAGTAAAACAATGAACAATGCATTTTATAAGACCTTTCAAATGAAAAAATGAAATGAAATTAGAAAAACATCAATAATTGAATGCAAAGATTTTCGACAGCATTTAAACCGGGTCAACATATTTACGAATTGCGGTGTTTATGCCGAACTTGAAAGAAAAAAAAATTACAATCATACATTGTGAGACTCCTTGCTCCTATTTTTCACCGGAATCTTCAACACAGATGATTCATTTACAGGAACATCTGAAAATTTCACTTGATCTTCAGAGACATAAATTCCGTTTCTGTAAAATATACGAAATAGCATCAACAATACCAAAAATACAAGTGTGCATCAACAGTGAAGTAAAATAAAAATAATGTATTTCAGGATGAATGTAGAAGCAATAAACCAGTATTGGTTATCAAGCAGCGTCACCTATGAAAGAGTCTAACTTTGAATCGTATAAAGATAAAAAAAAAAAAGCAGAACAATATTCAATAACAGTAGCCACCTTTTTATAAGTGCGTTTAGGTGACCTGGTGGTTCCAGTATTGCTTGTGGTAAAGGGAGAGAACGACTCCAGGTACGACTGGTAGGGTAACCATAGGACTACAGTAGATGAAATAAAAAATGGAAGGTGGCTAGTTTATGTGTGTGTGTGGGGTGGGGGAGGGGGGCATGTGATTCCAACCCGAGATTTTACCCTACGATGCCACTGAAGAGTGCTGACTTGGGACATCAACCAAATGGATGATTTAAATATGCTGAACAGTTCATATATCAATGTCTCTAAACTTTGCAAATCTCTATAATTATTTAATAACCAACCCTTCTTTTGTTTTGTTTATATTTTGACTTTGCATTACAGGTTTCATCGATTTTATTCCTTGTCCAACAACTTGTATTCGTACTTTATTTAACGACAATGCAGCAGAATCTGCAGCTTCATGATGCTGAAAAATAAATTTGATACAATGCAAATCATTGCTGTGTTAAATATCATTAAGTGAATAATATATAAGACCATGGTAACTAATCACATTTATATACAAAGTGGAAAAACCACTCACACGAATGTGAATAAATAGTAAAATTTTTTTTTTTTTTCTTCAATTTTTCCTAATCTTTTTTATTAGGTTTCAATCAGAAATTATAAGTAGGTGTTTTAGATTAGTATATGGTTGTACTGAACTTGTAATCACATATCCTGAAACATCTACCCGGGCAGCAAGCAGTTTTCATAATATATTGGGGATGTACATTTCAATGCATCACTCTTAGCAGATTTTCGAATCTATACAATGTTGAGAGTTCACTTTAACATAGGAAACTGAATTTATAAAATCTAAAGTTCCCTGGGTTTATTTATTTCAAAGAGAATGTGTAAAAGACATGTGCTACCCTGGAATATATTGAAAAACAAACATCCATCTTGAGACACATTCGACCTGTTTATTCTGGGAAATTTACCCATAGAATTTGAATGAAGGTAATTAATCCAGAGGCATGCAAGAGAAAGCCTACAAGTAACGGTACAGACCATGGAACCTATTAATTAGACTTATACCTGACATTGTAATACCTTATTTTTTTAACGCCTTTTCTCATTTGTAAGTGCAATATCAGCAGTTTGGACTCTGTGGTATATCATGTCACCATAATTTTACGTTCCAACCCATTGCAATAAACAGTTGCACGTTCCTGGTTTATTCTAAGAATTTCACAACTACAACATAACTTTGTAAACTTTACCTCAAGGTCCCAGAATTGTGAATAATTTCCTTCACTCATAGGGTTAAATGTCACAGGTATTCGTACTTTAGCACCAGGTTCAAGTAAACCAGAAGTATGAGAGAATACAAAAGCAGCATATGTTGATCTATATAGATCACCTGTAAATGAATAAAAATTTAAAAAAGATAATATGGTGCTTAGTAACAGGCAGAAATAGGCCTAGATTCGAATCAGGACTCAAATCCATGTCTTTTTAGGACTCCGTTTTATTATTGAAAAATACCCTTTAAAATAGTAATCTATCAGATACTGACAAATACCAGGTTCATCTCATTCCCAGCAGTAGAACTTAAATTATGTGTCACCAATGTAAGCAAGAACAACCGCTGAATTTACATCACATAATCAATTAATATTAACTGACATTATGATTTAGTGAAAAGTGATCTAATCTAAATTTATCAATATCTGCTGATTCGTACAAAGTAATACATGCTTATAAACCTAATAGATTGCCGAATGAAAGAAATTCTGTTTCAAATTGAAATATAAAAAATGCGTATAAATAAGATAAGAACTGTTTTAATCAAGCAGTATATGTGCCGAATTTCAATCAGTGTTTTGAGATAAATATATAACAAGATATGAAAGTAAATTATGGAAGTTGAAAAAATTTTCACCTGTTGGTTCAATATCTTTTACATATGCTGGAGCAAATGATGTCAATAACCATCGGATATTGCCTGGACAAACATTTGTGAATTCTAAATTTGATTCTGAAAAGCAAAAGAAAATGTATGAGCCCTTTCAATATCTATGTCTTTTGATATAGTCATGGACTGATTCAACACTGCCTAGTGCCTACTCAATTTATTGCACGCCCATGCCCACCACCTCACTCGAGATGCAATTTGCAATTTCTATAAAATTGGCACAAAGCATTAATCTAGAACAAAACACACTTACTGGTGCTAGATCTCATCGTCGTTTGGCCAAAATCAACAATACACGAATCCAATAAAATTTTATTAGATCCAGTATCTTTAGAAGATGACGACACTCTACTTTGTCCAGATGCAGCCATAGGAGTAGCAAAAGAGTCTGCTGATGGTATTTCACTGTATTGAGCCTTGAGAGGAAGCCGCGGCACCGGAGTTGCAGGTTGAACCGAGGCATCAAGCGATGCCACGTCATCTCGTATCTGGACACGAAGTTGTTTTGTGCCACGTCCATCTTGAGTGGAGACTTGTACAGTACCTACCCAAGGAAGAAGATCACGCCGAGAGGCCAAAGAGGGATTGGCACTCAGGAGCATAATAAGGACAGATCTGAATGATATAATGTAAATGTAAATATATCGAATATTACGATTGATGATATACAAATGGAGGTAGCTATCTTCACCATGTGGTAATCATTATTTATTATATTGAAGGAGAAAAATCAAAAACTTTGTATGATTCGCAAAAATATAGACTGTTATAGATGTTAAAGCATGAACTTTAGATAGTGAAGGGGTCATGATAAATCAAAACAACTAATTTCCATACATATGACATACTGTAACATACCAGGAGATATATCGAACATAATAAATTTACTATTTTTATACATACAAGCTACTACTATTTTTAAGCATACAACTTTCCAAAATTTAACTAGAAAACTTTAAAAAAATAATACAGAAAATAGTACATTTCACAAAAAACTTGTCAAATAGACACAACTATAGTAGTTCATCAAGGACTCGTCAATTTGCTTTGTCTGAGTGAAACATCATCGAATCTCATCAAAATTACATCACTAATAATTTTTTAAATAGGTCACTGGTTCAAATCTTGAGAAAGATGATTTGATCAAAATTAAAATAAAACTTACTCTGGGTCCACTTGTCCACTATGTGGTGTGATGGTCAAGTAATGACCAGACCAAGCGACATCAAATCTCAGTGACGACCCCGATCTGTTTATTATTTTGATTTTACTTGGCTCGGTGTGTTTGTTTAATCTTGGTGCTGATAAAACTACATGATCAGGTGAAAGTAACCAGGATTCGTTTTGATCTTCATCCTAAAAAAAAATAAAAATATTAAAAGTAAAAATCTTGCAGAGACTAGAGACTTTTTTTTCATTTATTTTTATTTATCCTAATACTATGGTATTTCAGATGCTGCAAGTAATTACAATTGTGATTACTCTAAATGGGTCCATTTTGCCCAAAATTTTGGTTACTATCAGTTAGGGTTACACAAGAATAACATCTAAATTTTATTAAAAACAGTACTGTTGTGCTGAGTATGGACTGTAATGATTTCTAATATTTTTGTAAGAGGATATGATCAATCGTTCCAAAGTAATGCCACTCAGAAGTAAAGATAAAGTAGACCAAGAAGAAATTCAAAGACATATTGAAACTATGTTGAATGTGGTGAAGCATTACACATTAGGAAATATGGATTGTCGCGAGATTTGAAGCAGTTAGGGTCGATACAATCATGGAAAACATTCGGCATAAAAAGTACAGAAAGGGTTGGGCATCAGTTGGTTTAATGACTATTCTTGAATCAGACTATATCTGAGCCCTTTTCTTAGTATAGTTAAGTCAATAGAAACAGTTGTCTTTAATGCCAGTTTGTAGACACTTTTTCCTTAGGCTTCAGTCAACTTTTTTGACCATTGACCATCTTATTTTGCATTACTTAATAAGATTATTAAAAATTCACCTGATTATTTGTTCTTTTATAATGTTGATGTGATTGTGTAGTATTAGTTCTCATATCTCTGATTGGTTTGTGGCCATCAGATGCAGCAGACGATTTCTTACCAGGTTCAACCATTTCAAGTAATGGTTTGTTGGTACGGGGTCCAAATACCTGAGCATGAAATGAAACATGAAATTTAAGATAAGAGGAAAAGGTAAAAGCCTAATGGATACAAATAGTTTTCCCATAGGCAAACAGTGCTTTGTATCTATTGTTTCTTTGTCTGTTTTGCCATTATAATACTGGGGTATTCCGTAAATTTAGTCAATTTTAGTCGAAAATTGTTTGTATTTTCAATATTACAAATGGTAGCTTTTTAAAAAAAAAAATGGTCAATTTTTTATTCACAAAAAAGAAATCCATACTTGAATAATGCTTTTCTTTATTCCGGTATAAAACACTTGAACATCACCGAGTTGCGGTTTAACTTGTGATAAATCTTCTTCACTTTTATTTGAACCTGTGAAAAAGTATGACAATTGTCATGCGTTATATATAAAGAGGCTTTGTATATAATCAGCAAGCATTTATCCAGAAACGGTCAGATTAGACCATAATTACAACAGCCTAACACAAAAAGCAGAATACCAGCACACAGCATGTCTACACAGAAGTTACCTTTGACCGAACATGATCGCTTATCATGGCAACAATATTAAAGACAATTACTAATAGACAAACTAGAATAGTGCTAATATTATGCTTTCTTAAACTTAAATCACAAGATGCTAAAAACCACATGAAAATTTAACTACACATGATAAGAAGCAACATTAAAGGCTGGTAAACAAAGAATTTTTATAGTAAATGAATTAGAATAAAAGTGTTGTTTTCATTATTCGGAAACCTTGAATTGGATTTTTTTTTGTCAATAAATTCTCCACATTATAAACATACAAAATCTTGCACCTATTCTGACAATTAACAGAGCCATGCTAGAACAGATGAACACAAAGGTCGAATGACTAATATGGCCATCGGAATGTCATCCAAATTTCAACCAAACACCAAAAGAAACTCTTTTTTTTCACAAGTCTGACATCAACAATTTAGCAAAACAATCCATATTTCATGTCCAATCATACTACCTTCGCCTTCAAAAATTCCATCAAACGATATTCCTCTCAACGGATTACTTTCTGACAAACTCTTATTCACAGCAGAAGGTCCTAGTTTTGATAATGCACTCTTCAATAAATGTCTCGCAATTTCATCACCATGCCTGTATGGATTATAACATAATTTTAATGCTATAAAGAAACAAGATATATGCACAGATATACAGTTTCGAAAACGAAAATCATAGAAGCATGTGTACAAAGTGAGCCATTGTATCCTTTAGAACAGGCCTGCACAACTCAAATTACCACGAGGGCCGCAAGCATAATTCTGAAAGCCCAGCGGGCTGCAAACTTTGCCACATACATATTGCACAAGATGAGCTACAAATCAAAATAATATTGTGAAACAGTAAAATTTAATGAAACACTTTCATTAGTGGGGAGCTTGAAAATTTGAAGAATCTTATTTTCTTGAGTAAAAACAGGGTACAGTATTTGTTACTGTTCTGCTTTATTCATTTCAAGCACTGCATTCTTTCACTTTCGTTTTGCTTCATTTATCATGTTCGCTCAGGCGTGAATAATTTTCTATTGTTTTTGTCTTCTGTTTTGACTGTTTGGGCAGCATGCTCATTATTAGTTTGTGGTTTCATTAATCTGTATTAATCGATGTATTGACCTTGAACTGAGTTGTATTGTCAACTTTACATGGTAGCAGAGGAAAATGACTTCCAAACAAATACCACCACCAAGGTTTGGAGGCGGTACTAGCTATGCAGAATGGAAAAATAAGTTGGACATGTGGATTTCCATAACAGAAGTGCCAAAGGAAAAGCAGGCAATTTTGGTGCGTCTGCAGTCGCTTGATGGAAATAATAAAGCTGAGAAAGCTGTGTCAGAGTTAACTAGTGAACAGTTGAAAGCTGATGATGGGTTGGACAAACTTCTTGGAAAACTTGATGGTGCATTTCAGTCAGAGAAAACTGATGAGGCCTATTTAGCCTACACGCTATTTAGTAAATATCATAAAAGTTCTGATATTTCAATGGTGGATTTTATCCTGGAGTTTGAACACCGGTATGCTAGACTTGTAAAATATGACATGAAGCTACCAGATACCATTCTGGCTTTTAAGATATTAGATGCTGCAGGCCTAACTGATCAACAGCGCCAAATGGTTCTTACTGTTGGAAGCGACTTGAAGTTCGAATCTATGAAATCAGCCTTAAAAAGGATTCTTTCAAAGCAAGATGGCGATGAAAAGAATTATGATTTTGATGAAGATGATGTTGCATCGAATATTAAAAAGGAAAATGCATTTGTGACTCGTGATACCGGTACTGGTACTGGTAGGCCAAAATCTAGGAAAGAATTTTTCAAAGAGAGATCGAGATATGCCACCGGTAGTGGCGGAGGAGCAAAGCAACGATACAAGCATCATGAATCGACAGTAAAAGCTCGACTGAATCCACGGGACAAATACGGAAATATATCTAGATGTGCAATTTGTGAATCAAAAATGCACTGGGCCAAACAATGTCCACATGAGAAGAATCGCCCACCTGTTCAAAAGATTCACTCAGGGTTCTTATTGCCATTGTCGCACAAAAGCAATGGAAGCTTCATACGATTGACATTAAAACAGCTTTCTTACAGGGAAATTGTGTGGATAGAGAAATATTTTTAAAGCCTCCCAAAGAGGCTGGAACTACCAAGCTATGGAAATTAAACAAATGTGTTTATGGATTAAGTGATGCATCACTCAAATGGTACAATCGACTAAAGAAGTTTCTCGTTGACCAAGGAGCAAAAGTATCAGCATCTGATTCAGCAGTATTCTATGTATACTGCAATGGGGAATTACAAGGTATAGCTGGGATTCATGTTGATGATATTCTGTGGTCTGGCACAGAGTATTTTGAGAACAATTTGATTTCGAAACTGAGGTCAACATTTCTAATTAGCTCGGAGAAAAACGAGGCATTCAAATATTTGGGACTAGACATACAACAATCAGCCGATGAAATATTGATCAATCAAGAATTGTATGTAAAAAACCTTGAGACCATAAAAGTGACCTCAGATGATGCAGAGTGTCTTTCGTCTTCTCAAATAGATATTTTAAGAGCGAATATTGGCCGTCTTCTTTGGGCAAGCAATCAGACACGTCCTGACGTGAGCTATGATGTTTGTCAGCTTGCTTCTAACCTTAAAGATGGGAAGAAAAAAGATTTGCTCTATATAAACAAGATAATAAGAAGACTGAAAAACCAGCAATTATCATTGAAATACAAAAATTTAGGAAATGATGAATTATTAAAGATTGTCGTCTTCGCTGATGCTGCTTATGGTAATCTGAGAGATGGTGGAAGCCAAGGTGGCAATTTGGTGTTCTTGGTTGGAGAAAATAATGAATGCTCTCTGCTAAGCTGGCAGTCCAAGAGGATTCGTCGCGTTGCCAAAAGTACTCTCACAGCTGAAACACTGTCATTGTCAGACGCAGTTGACAATGCTGTTTTTATCAAAGATATGTTTGCGGAGATATATTTTGGAAAACTCAAAAGCCTACAACTCGATGTCATAACCGACAATCGATCACTATGTGAAGCACTTCGATCCAGTAAAAATGTTTCCAACAAACGCTTACGAGTTGAAATAGGGATGCTGAAGGAGATGATTCAAAACAAAGAAATCAACAGCATAAGCTGGGTCGAATCAAAAAAACAATTGGCTGATGTTCTTACCAAAAAAGGGGCATCACCTGAACGACTCGTTCAAACGCTTACCCTCGGACAATTACGTCTTTCCTAAACTTAAAATAAAACACAGTGAATTTGTTACTGTTCTGCTTTATTCATTTCAAGCACTGCATTCTTTCACTTTCGTTTTGCTTCATTTATCATGTTCGCTCAGGCGTGAATAATTTTCTATTGTTTTTGTCTTCTGTTTTGACTGTTTGGGCAGCATGCTCATTATTAGTTTGTGGTTTCATTAATCTGTATTAATCGATGTATTGACCTTGAACTGAGTTGTATTGTCAACTTTACAGTATTTTTGCATATGAAATGACAAATATGTATTTAGTGGTTCATCTACCTTGAAAACCCACCCTTCATTTTCAATATTTCTTTTTTATTAGAATTAGGTATTGCGTGTTGCAGCATAAACTGACTACAGGAAAATATTTTACTCGGGTTCAGTTTTGTTAAAAATTGTCTCAAATATATGTATGACAATTTATTTAGTCATATCTAACATTTTTGGATATTTCCATTGTAGGCTGTACAAATAAATCTGTTTAGTAGAAATAGATCTTCCTCTGTTGTACTTTTTCGACTGTTAAATTACATTTTTCTACAAAATCTGCTCCAATATTTTGAAATTTTACAGTAAATAGCAATATCTTTTGTGCGAGAATTTCATCACCATTCATAAATGAAGGAATTGTTTTTTAAGTTCTAAATTTGAAAAAGAAACTTCAGTTTGTTAAACTGCTAGTAAAAAATAGTGGGGTTATAAATAGGTTGCTATTATGCACTAATGGGTGTGAGATTGTATACCTATATTGTTTTAAGGGTAGCGAAGGGCACACCAATTTCACACAAAGTTCGATACTTATTGAAACTAGTGCAAGACATAAATCTCACGATTTCGAATATGATTGGAGTAGCGGCGCGCTTGCATAAATAACAATGCCGGCTTTGATTGTTAGACCCGAGAAGTGGCGTGTTTCCAAATCACCCGCGGGCCGCACAGAAGTATCTAGCGGGCCGCATGCGGCCCGCGGGCCGTATGTTGTGCAGGCCTGCTTTAGAAAGTTGTACCATAAATGTTATACCTTATGATACAAATCAGTGTGACACATAATGGATTCATATAAACAAAACGGACGAATTGTGAGAAGTTATTATCAAAGTTGTAGTCTTGAGTATGAAATCGAGTTTGACAAGTTTTTGAAGTTACAGATGAAAATTTTAAGTTGAAATTGAAGTAAAAAATGATGACCAAAATTTCCAAATCATTAACTGAGCATTCCTAACAGATCACAGGGTAAATTTTTCTAGACCAAACCCCATGCCAGCACGTCAATCAGAGTGTAATATATTAAATAACCTAAAATTTTAGTCATTACAAAATTAGAAACACCTCACATAACAGTGGCAGCTTGTTCACAGTTTTGTTCGGGACAAAAATGACATTATCTTACCATAGGCAAACACAGCAAATCAAATCTCGTCCATTTCTAGAATATCCAGATCTTTTATCAGATGATGTTGGAAATGATAAATTCATTGTACGAGAAGAACGTTTCGGTAATACAAATTGTGATGGAGAACAACTAGCAACGTTGTCTTGATGAGGAATTTGGCAATTTTGGTCACTGCAAAATGTTGAATAAAAAATATTAGAAATTAGGTATATATTCAATGTAGTAAATTATTGATTTTATAAAAAAATTTTCATTTGAAATACTACAATTTTCAGTTGGCGTACTCATTTGGATGTGAGATCTCATCTGATTACTGTCAGAGTACCCTCAATAAACATGTTTTCAAATTGAATTGTATCAAGTCACACGGCAATCAGGATTCCCTAGTATGGAATGCACCAACCTAAATATTACATTTTAAGTAGCTTTCTTCGATTCAGTTTCATTTTTAATAAACACCTTATGACTTACTTACACTCACTCACCTATAAAGCACAGTTTTTATGAACGCATCTCTTGATGAGTTATTTGTAACAGTGAATTTCGTTTGTCTTCTTGAATCATTGTCATCGGAATAAATGGCAAAAAAGTCTGTATTTGAATCATCTTCTTTTGGTATAACTTCAAGATCTTCAATTTTTATTTCACTTCGACCTCCGTAACCACTCAAGGGAATCGTGAACTTGGTTGAAGAGACTTGATCTGAATTAAAATAAAAAGGTGTTCATTTCATTAGATACTCTGAATATTATGCATTTAACTAATGACCATTATGAAAATTTAAATCCCCATATGTAGTTGTATAATAATAAACCTTCCCCAAATCTGACAGCCTTGTTTATTTTGATACGCTGGCAATACAGAAATGGGGCCAGGGCTAGATAGAGCAATAGCATTTTGTTGGAGCCGAAGCTACCAGAAATTTGAGCAGCTCCAGCTCCTAATACTTCTTACAAATACCAGTAACCCATTCAATGTTTACTGGTAGTGCCAGTGGCCATACTAAGAAACATCAATCGCTATGGAGTAAGAGTCGGAGCCCAGATCTGAAAGGCTCCGGAGTTTTAACAAACTGTGGCTTCAGAGCTGTGAGCCATTTAAAACCAGACAAATCCAGTAAAAGTTTACCATGACACAAATGCAAATTCCAACAAAGTTCCTATGAGCTCATCACACACACAGCGACGACTTCATCTACACTCCACTTACCCACAGGTGCCTTAATTTCTAATTTAGCCAGAGCCATCCTGCACCTTGTCGGTCCAAACAGTATTTTAATAATTTTATCTTGTCCTCCTCTCATAACCATTTCTTGTTTTGAACAAAGTTCTTCTCTCTCTTTATCATCTTCTCTCAAAATCTATAAATCAAAGAAGTAATTTAATGTTGATAACAGGGGTCTTTTCGAAACGATACTAAGACATATTCACCCTATTATTGAATTAAACAATTAAAATGGGGATATAATTGAAAATGCACAAGAATTCTATAATGTTTCACAATTCTACAAATTAATATCCAAAAACTTTCTTGAAAAAAATACAGAACCTATCCATTGAATAGCTTAGAAAAAGACAACGAGATTTTCATATGTAGTATTGCTTAAAACGACTTCTACGCGTACGCAAAAATGGAAAAAAATCATTGGTAGAAGATTTAAAGACTGTTGATCCGTTTTTCAAAGTTGCATGTTCAAATCATAAGGGATAGGAATATATGCGATAAGAATGCTAACTTTCCCACTTCCACATGCTGGCTCAATAAAACCATCATTTCAGTCATTTTCTACTTTAGGATAAATTTAAAATTCCCTTTACCTGAAAACAAGATGCGTCTTCTCCTTTTATCATGACCCGCATAGGTAGTGATTTTTGTGCTCCAGGACTCGTTCTTAGCACAACTCTCTGCTGGAGTGATCGACCAACTGCTACACCACCCCAACATATATGAGACTTGTTTGTCAGTAGCGTTGGCATGTCTCCCATTTGAGAAGTTTGTGTTTCGGGAAAAGACTGTCGTGACATAGATCTGCTGCTAGATTCAGAACAAGTTGCAACAATGGATACTTCATATTTTGTTCCATTTGGTTCAATCTGGGAAAAGTAAAACAGCATTGGGTAACTTGAAAAAAAGCAGAACACTGGTAATTTGGAATATTTCTAGAGAGAACATAACATTTGTGCAAAGCATCACAGATTTTCAAAAGTTTAAGTCACAATCATACACATACAGAAGTTCAAGTGTTATATAAATTTTTTTTGGCTGTTTCGATCACAGGTGAGGCATTGCTGAGCAGGATTACCCTTTCTATGAAAAAAAATTCACAAATTCAAGAAGTAGTTGTTGCATAGTTAACAGGCTGGTATTACGTTATTACAATCAACGAAAGCAGACGTAAACTTAAATTTTTCAACTGAAATTGTCATTTTTCTCAACCAGGAAAAATAATCGAATACAAATTTACGAAAAATAGTTTTAATGAAAAAAAAAGAAACCAGGAAACAAAAGGTGGTTAAAAAGCAGCAAGACTCAAGGTTCTAAAATCTAATTAAGATAAATAATGCAGGACTTTTATATTTTTGAATATAGTTATTACTAGAGATTATCATAGAAAACACAGATGGCTGGTGTATTCCTCACTTTAACAGAATTACCAAAAGTACTAAAATCATTTATAAAATGCTTTAACTGAAGTAAATTAATAATCTGAATAAATTGAATTATAAGAATTGACCTGCAATTTTAAAACAAAGGAAATTTACCTTCATTAAAAAAGTTGAATTGACTTTGTTTGGAGTGAAACGACCTGGTTTGAATTGAACTGAAACTTGAACATGTTCTCCAGCAGCTAATAACGCATGAAGTGGAGTAACACTCAGAATATCCTCATGATCAAGTACAGAAAATGATACTCGTGTCGAGACATTTCCACAATTTTTGACAGGTAGAGTACGGGTCTGAGCATTTTCTGTAAAAACGACGTTGTGATATTACAGTAACAGATAATAGTACTGATAAGTAGCCAGAACTGATGGAGCGTCAACACAGTGAAAATGCATGCTTATTTATTTTCAGACATACTGTAGTTTGGAATGCCCATATCTCAATAAATTGGGACAATTGAGATATACTTTGCAGATGATATTATATTCTACGATATTGTAAATTTCCATTCTGAATAGTTGAATTACTACCAGTTTATGATAATCGGATAAAAATTGCTGAAAATTTTTGATTTAACTAAATAGGTGGATAGTTGTACAATAAACCTTATTTTGAGTATACACATTCTTAAAACACACATTTTTTGAATATTGACAAAAATATAGTATCATATCACATCGATAATTTGCGATCAAGTTTTAATTACCGTACCTGAAATATTTGAAATTGATTTTCAACCAGATCGTATTATATTATAAAATTATTAAGATAAACTCGTATCATACCCATGACTATGCTTTTCAAAACAAAATCCTACCTCGCGAACATGAGAAGGTTAAAGGTTGCATGTTCTTAGGAGCATGGAGTTTAGCAATACATGCTGTAACTTCAACAGATATTGAGTCCAGTACATTAGTATCCAATGATTGTTTTTGACTGTTATCAATCTCCATATATACTTGAGCAGATATATTTTTCGGTGGTTCAGCTGGGAAAAATTAATATAACAAATTATAGGTGCAAATGATAAATATAATAAGGGTCCTGATGGCCTACAGCAGGATTTCCCTACAGGGGTGAAATTCTTCCCTATGAAAGAATTATGTTGTCTGCAGGAAGGAAATACAGGAATATTATTTTGTATTTGGCATAGTTTTACTAATATTTTTCAGTTATTATTGTAATACCATTTTAATGCACACAATATTCACTTTGTAAAAGCAAGATATCGGGTTGTGCATAACATTAGCTAAGGATCGTTTACTAATTGACCAAATAATGGAAACATAGTTATTATGCATAATAGTGAGGAAAAATATATTGAAAAAAGGCTGGGAACCAATGTTCTAGAGCAGGGGTGTGCTACCTGCGGCCTGCGGGCCAACTGCAATCCACAAGAAAAAATTGTGCGGCCTGTGGAGAGGTGTCAATTTTTAATGGTGTCGGCCCGCAAAATAAGTTTTTAGTTTTGTTTAATCTGGTATGTGCGAGTAATTCCAATCCCTTTGCGTTGCAAAGCCTACACCTTAGTCCAATTTAATATCTATGCCTATGACGTTACAACACCCTAAGAGCTAGCTTGTGCGAAGCGAACAACGACACAACGCATGTAATAAAATAAATATTTTTGTGCCTGCAACTATCAGAAAGCCAATGTTAAATAAAGGTGCGGCCCACGGTTTCACCAAGTTATTTGTACCTGACCCTCCTGTATTGAAGATTGCACACCCCTGTTCTAGAGGTCGAGCGTTGGACTATGTTGGAATTGCAGGTTACTACATATATCTGTTTTAAATCTCATGCATACCATCAAACCAAGTGTATAATAAAATTGGGCAGGCAATGGTAACTGGCAATATTACAATCCTTCCAAAAAAATGATCTCTACATATCTATGTCTACTTGTACAGGGCCTTATTCGGAGTGAAAAGTGCCTCATAAAAAATATCTTCACCAAGTGAATTTGATATCATACCTCCATCACAGTATTTAGGTGGAATTTTACAATGCACCCAAACTGTTGTTGGTCTTTCACCTGCTGCGACAATGGTTCTCAATATTGACTGGGGCCGTTTTTCTTGCTCTGTCCCTATAAAACAATGAGTATTAGAAATAAAGCATTGGTCAATGCTTCATGACAAAGTTTAAATGACTAATATGTTAAACCAGTGAAATATCACACATTTCAAGACTCGAAAAAAAATTGAAAACATATAGATTTCAAGAGACTTCCTAATAAGTAATAAAAGTTTGAAAGAGATGTCAATCAGTCGCGAAGAGAAGTGATTTTTCCACAACCCAAAAAGAACCATGACTAGCAACAGCAACAATTAAACACAAAACGATCTAACTCTATCTGGCATATATAAAAGTTTTTTTTCATGAAATATGATAAAACCCTTATTTTGAGTTTTTTTTTATAAATATGAAGAATATTTTAGATTGATAAATTTTATGAAGAATACCAAATTCTACTTCAAACTCAACGTAATTGGATTCCAATTCCAGTAAAAAATAACTTTTCTACACAATTACGCATCATTTTATCATCATTCTAAATTTTTTATTTAAGGACTATGAAAATACTTACATTCTATACTTGATGAATCTGATATTGCGAAACATTTTCTATCTTGAGATTTTGAACAAAGAACGACACAAACTGGTATTTCAGCAGATCCTTTGTTCAATATTCTGACGAGATAAAAATATAATCAAACCATGACACTAATATTATACAAGCTTCAAAAACACTATACTTCTTACAAATTCTAGAGCAAAAAAAATAAAAGTGCACTGGGGTTATGAGAAACTATCTCTACAAAATGCAGTATTTTATATAAAACTTATATGTAAACCAAACAGAGTTAAACACAGAAATATGTTATTCATGGAACTTCAAAATTAGTAAAAAAGTATATCACGGGGTGACCACAAAAACAGAAACCATAAAATTTTTAATTACTTCCATAAAAATGAAGAAAAATTATTCAACACTCGAACACGTAAACTACCATTTGTGTATGATTGTATCAAAAAGTTTCAGTAATTTGGGACGCTTCTCACAAATTTTGAATTAAAAGTGGTCTTCGTTAATAATCGACATGAAGAATATCGAGTATGAAAGAAAATTGCACATTTCAGTTGAAATTTGAATTTTGACTTCAAGAAATATAGAATATGCTAGAATATGAAGACAAAAAATTCAAAATTTTGGCCTTAATTGAAAATTTGAATACAGCTCACAAACTGTGAGCAGGCTGTGACAGGCGAGTTGAAAATGCTCAAATCAAACTTGAGTTACCACTCTACAATTACTAAAGAACTCTCACCTCAGTGGAAGATATTTGGCAGAATCGCATAAAGTTTCTCCAAAATTGAGCTCATGTTCATTGTCTGGTCCTTTCAATTCAGCACTGGCAATTTCTGCCACAGCTTTCAGGCAGACCATGCTTGGGGCTGATCTTGAGCTTTGAAGCATAGATCCTTCCGATGTGACAGGATAACTAATCACCTTAAAAATATGATAACATTTTATAGATTGGAGCTAGATTGAAATTATACGAATTATCAATATTTTTGCAAGTCCCAGCATTACAGGCAGACGTCACACATCTTAAAAATAGATCTTGTTTAGCATTTACATAAGTGTAAGCAGCTGCGATGTTTTTTTTTAATTTTGAATGACAAGAATCGCATCAGCAGATTATTTTTTCATCATGTTTGTTTGGATTTAGTCTTTTTAGTACAGGGTTTTCGAAACTGGGGTCCGTGATGACTGCACAGGGGGTCCGCATCGATATCAAGAGTCTGATTGATCTTTTATGATTGATTTCAATCAAAAAGCACTGCATCTAATTGGCTGAGAGTTGCGGACGAATATCCATTGTCGTCAGAAAAGGTAATGCCGTAGAGTCGGATTGTCACAAATTGCTCCGAGAATAGATAAGTTGTGCAGTAAAAAGCAACCTCAACCATCCCATTAATGTTGTTGGTATTGTAAGGATGGAGATCCATCAAAACTAAGATTCAAAAAAGGGGTCCGCGGCTCAAAAAGTAAGGGAAAACTTTATTTGGTATCTTACAGTACTTGTCTATAGCATTATTCAAATATTGAAAATAAACTGATGACAATGCTGAAAAAATATTTCTGTCAAATTCTTTATTTTGACGATGAAATATGAAAGTCTCTATACAACATATTTTGTCGCACAGAGATTATCGGAAATTAAGAGTAATTGTGATACAGAATTGAAGAATATCAAACTATGAGATATAAAGCTTATGTTTCTCCAATCTCCATTTCTTGTCTCCAGTATATAATAGCAATATACCTCTAGTAAAGCTTCAAATCTTCCTTCTTTCTTTGGTGAGAACGATACTTCAATATTTTTAGTATCATGTGGTCCAACTAACGGTTTAGCATCAAGCAAAAAACAACAATCGATAGCAGGAGACACAATATTCAATTCAATCTGAAGTAAGAGGTAAAAATTAGAACAGTCAATACAAGTTGTGAATATAGAAAAATTAGTGAACATTTAACTTCTTATAAAGCTGGTCTTTATATTGTAGGGACAAACCCATCCATTCTGAAAGCATATACCTTATTTTCTGGCAAATAAGCCAATTTTCTGAACCCATTTTTTTGCATAATTCTTCGGGGTAGTCTTATCGGCTTACTTTCCTTTTTCTGGGATTGGCTTATTATTAGATTTGGGCCAGAAAATTCCAGAAAAAGGGACAATAGCGTGCGTTCCCCATCAGTTTCCATGAATTGGCATTCTCACACTGTGAATCTGGAATATCTCACCAAATTTATTAAGAATATTTGTGAATCTGCTTATTAGCCAAAAAATAAGGCTATTTGATTTCTTAACACATTTATGTAGCTAGCCATACAACTATGAATACCACAAATATAAAAATCTTATCTATATCGTGATCTATATAATTTAAGTCATGTGATGACTAGGGCTGGGCAAAATATTCGAATAACGAATAGCGAATCGAATATTAAATTATTCGAGTGGCATTATACTATTCGAATATCGGGTACCACGTGATCTGCGTCGCTTCACTTGGACACAGAACGTCTCTGAACCGATCGTGAATTGCGCAAGAATTCACCTACAACGCTCGCTGAGAGACAAAAGCGACAAATTTGAAAAAACGTCTTTGCGTTGTGGTGTTATTTGTTTTCTTTGCGTTTCGATTGTTCATTTCAATTCCCTATATTGCACAAAGAGGTACCGACACCGTTCCCTAAATTTAGAAACGTTAAATCAGATGAAGTTGAATTAACTTTTGCGTGAAACCGTACATAGTATAACACGAACAAGCTATGACCAGAAAAGAAATGGTAGGACATAGTTCTTTTAATGTACTTTCAAATAATTCTTTAGTGATCCCTTTCATTCTTGACCAAATAATGTTTCGAAAGTGTAAACATTTCACTCGGGCATGCATGGCGGGTGGAGTGTAGAAATCGTGAACAGGAGTATGGCGTAAAATCAATCGTGAATTTTGATGTAACACTGTCTCGTTTATGAATTGTTGTATCGTCAGAAATGATAACATTCGTTATATTTTGAGCATTTTTGAAGAAAACGTCGGAACTTGGAAGAGTTAGTTATAATTAGCGCCTGGCCATCTATTAGGCACAAAAGTAAAAAAGCGCAATTTTTTTCAGCATTAGGTCGCATATATAAATTATTATTCAAGTAGCGCTATTTATTAACGTCATCTCGTCATATGGCCACGCAGAAATGCCTTTATTGTCGAATTATTTAGTCACTATTTTATATCAACATTCGGGATTGACGCAATCTCAGCTTTGCGAAGTTTATCTGTAAAGTAACATAGACACCATAGAAAAGCATAGCAAAGTTAATTACGGTATTGTCTTAATAAATATCTACATCCCGGTATCGATAATAATATTACCGTTTGCTTAATATTGTGACAGTAAATTTACAAACGTTGATAAGTAATACGAGAGCCAACGCAAATGATAAAAATGAGAATAATATTAATTTGGGTTTTCACATCAATCCTTAATGATTTTAACAGCTGTTGCCGACGTGAACGCACAGTAAAAAAACGGTAAACCCGAAATATAAACGTCGATGTCCGCCGACCCGAAAGAATTAATACTTGCAAATAACAGAAAGGGCGAATTATAGATTATATATCACCGCAAAAACGGTCACGGTGACAAAAACAATCAGCGATTATGACGAAATTAACCAGTAAAAAAACGCTTTGTAGCCGATTTTTCAATGTCTTTATTAATTTCCAAAGGGAGTATCGACCGACGTTGTATACCTCCTGTTGTGTATAAAAAAATATTCGTTATTCGACTATTCGGTATTCGTTAAAAATATTCGAACTATTCGATTCGAAAAAAATATTCGATTTTGCCCACCCCTAGAGATGACTTGGTTAGCATACATTTAGTAGTAACATGTTATGGCAGCCTTTGAATGAGTTTTAACAAAGGTATAATAACGGTATAGAGGAATTTACAATGAAATGACTTTGGAAGAAAAATACCTGTATCCAACGATCAGTTTTATTTGTGAGAGGCAGCTTTGCATGAGACAATAGATTTACACAACGCACCCCAGGAAATACCAACTCAGGTGGTGCTGATATTGGAGCTAAAACAAAGATAAATAATTTTATGTACAAAGTGCATAAAATTTTTTTTTTTTTGTCATGGGGTTATAACCCAGAGTATGCTGATTTATAAATTATAAACATTGACCAAGATCTATTGAATTTTAAATCAGGTATTACATTCTTATAATGGATCTCTCAGATTCAAGCAACAATTAAACCACAACCAAAATATTGTTACATCATTAAATTAAAATCCGCTCCGAGATTTCACCAATTTTGACAAATACACCAACAGGAATTCGCCTTTTTAATATTTATAATAGTCCTAATATTAGAACCTTTTTGAGAATAGGACACTTTAGTCAAAATAGCGATACCAAGACCCTGATTGGAAATTGACTTAATTTCAAAACTGCACTTCGATCAGCACTTGAGCCTTCGTTTTTTGAAATGCATGCTCTGGTGTCTGTTCCAACCCATATTTGGTGAATGCAGCAGAGATCCGAGTTTTTATGAGCAAATTATAATTGAAACATGGGCAACAGAAGAACCAATATCTTCTACTTCATTCATCATGTACCATGGCTAACATGATCATTATTATTACATTACATATTACATTATTTTCACCACATACCTTCTAACGGTCGGTGTTGATGATAATAGCTTTCTGGCATGGATGGGAATCTTCCATCTATGGTAGCAGCACGAGGTGCATGCACTATACCAGAGTGTTGGTAATTGGTACCATGTTGGTGATACATGGTAGTAGTTGTGTGGTTAAGTCCCATTTCCGCACTAGAAGCCATGCTAGGTTGCTCAGGTGGGTAACCCATTGGAGTGGTTGTAGAATGTAACATAGGGTGAGACACATAAGTAGAAGGCATGGGGTAGGTACCATAAGGGTGAGGAAAAACTTGTGGTGCCCCACGGGTCATATATTCGGGCGGTAATTGGTATTGTCCGTCCACATGGCGATAATGAACATCACCAAGATAAGGACCAGGCAAGGAAGCTGCAGATGACATTGCAGATGGATGTCGATACATCACATGTGACATGTGTGAAGGATACACATGCTGCGAGTGATGGTGCATCATCGGTACATGTGTGGGTAGCGAATGTTGTGACGAGTTAGTGAGTTGTTCTTGAATTAACTCTGATGTGAGTTGAGAGTCACCACTCGCTGTCGATTGTCCACTGAGTGTTGTATTTTGAGTTGTTTCTGCTTCCTCTTTTATTACGTCGAGTTTATGTATTGGGATTTTTTCTTCCTCTATTTTGTCTTCTTCTAAATCTTTGTGATCGAACTGATGTTCCTGAATTGTTGCCATTTCTGAGAAACTCATTGACGGCAACATTTGTTGAAATTCTCCTGAATATCGACTGCATGATTTCCAGTCAGGTGAAGACTGTGATAATGGTTGTAGTGATTCTCTGGACTTGTCATCACAAGTTTTCCATGTTGTATCCTTTTGTAGTTTTCTGTTTGTAAAAATATGATGATTTTATTAAGAGAATTTTCTATAGCAAGGTTAAGACATATCAATAAAAATTATGATAGCAATGTAAACAGGGTTGCGACCACCGACCAGTGGGCTGTCACCGAAGCTGACAGGGTCTGTTACCACCCAATTTGAATTTTTTTCAAGGTGGGATTGTTTTACCTTCTACATCGAACAAACAACAAAAGCGATGTCGTTCCAGGCTCATGGCGTTAAATCCTAGCCTAGAGTAATTTAAAACGGCCAAACATAACTATGTTGAAGATATGTTATCTGTTAGTTGGGGCTGATAATGACACTTATCTTGGCTTATCACATAATTCTAATGGCTATATTCACTTATAAAACCGAAGAATATATGACTGTGCAATCCATTCAATTCAGGTCATATTTGATTGAAATATGAAATTTTTTGAATTAGGAAGTGAACCAGTTATGGTAATTACTTTTCTGCAGCAGATTCTTCAATATGTTTATCATAAGTAGGCTTGTTTTCCATCTCAACTTCAGGTTTCTTCGCCGATTCTTCTGACAAAATTTTTTTGGTATCTGTGTCAGGTGCTGAGAATAAAAGTAAACAACTGTTTAAAATAAATAGCTATATTCACTTCATAAAAAATAGTTTTTAAGTAACTGATATTTCATTGCAATTATTTTGATGAGAAAATTTAAGAATAATTCGCAACTGCAGAATTTTGATAGTGTAGAGATGTCATTTTTTTAAGAATAAAAATGTAATTTTACCTCTTGTTGCTCTTGGTCCACGTACTCTCAGTTTTTTGTGTAGTTCTTCAATACTTTCTCTAGTTATAAAAAATTAAGAAATAAGAACAAAATTAAAGATGAGGCAACTCTACAACTGTTTGTATACAGTTGATCAGTGATTGGAAGCAGGCGAGCAGATCCATTTAGATTTATTGAATCGGTCATAAGTACTTCAAATGTCAAAACTGAATGATTTAGCTGACAAAGTATACCCATAGAATAGTGTTTGAATGGAATACTGTATGAAACTAATGCTATTTATTAAAGGTTTTAAAGTCATGTAACCAAGATAATCGATTCGATGATATTGCTTGGCAAAAGTTGGCATTTTTAGAAAAAAATTTATGTTAAATTTATGTACCGGTAAGTGTAATTTCGCTGTGCAATGACCTATTTCTAATATTTAAAATCCAATTCAACTTTAGTAAGCATTTTAAAATATCAATTTAGATACGGATTTCCTAATTTGGTTTACCTATTTGTATTAGATAAAATCCCACATATTCTCAACGTACCTACTCAGAGAACCTCTTGTCAATGATAAATCAGTTCTTGTGGATGACAGTAAATATTTACTGCTTATTTCATCAGGAAAACAAACAGAATCTTGACCGTTATTGAACGTTGGTAACTCTTCTTGTTCTGAAGCTGATTTCTCAACAACTTCATCATGTTCTGGTGTATCTTGCATAAAGGATTCTGCAGGTAAATTACAGAAAAATGATAACCAATGGCCTGATAGGTAAAATTGATAATAAAAAAATTTTGTAATGGATTTACTTTGTGCATCAACTTGCACAACCGGCTTATCACGACATCCTTTGAGGCTTCCAGTTTTAAGCCAATAAACCACTGGAAAAGATGGTTTCGAAAAAATGTAGCCTATGGTAAAATTAAAAAGTAAGGTCGATGGTTATTAACGATATTGAACGGCTGAAAAAATTGCCATGCTTTCCAGACTGGCATGAGGCTTGTTCGCCTGTTTGTTGCCAGTTGGAGGACAAATTTGCAACCCAGAGGCGCCTAATTACGACCGAGATCTTCATGGTGATCACTCTTCGACAGGATTTCGATCCCTGTCCCGCGTAACATTCCAAACAAGCTCGCAGAACAGCAGTGTTCCGCGCAGCACAGTTTGAGAAATGTTAGTATTTAACTTTAATAACCATGCATCGCAGGTTTAATATCTTGTGATCAAATTTTCTGCCCAAAACCTCATGCAAGGTGTGTATTGGGTAGCAGATATATCTCTTAATTAAACTCTAATTATAATATTGGTAAGCCATAATTATTCAATTATGACTGCAGGCAGGAGTAATATCTGGAGTCGGAGTTGCTAGAAATAGATGATTTGATGTCAGACGCAGACTTTGCGTTTACCTTCGCATTCCTGGGAGCCGTGACTAAATTGAAACCTTCAATATACATGGACGATCAGGCTCAACATTAGGATTTAGTAAACTTTATAACACAATATCAAACTATACATCAACAAATAGAATTTTATGATATTATCAATTAATTACTAACCTTGCATCAAAGGATTCCAGTTGTTAGGTTTTTCAAATTCAGTCGATGGTGTTATAAATCCAACTTTAACGTTCTCAGTCATCTCCGAATGTCCCAAGCTGGGCTTCAAAATGATATCACTTGAAATTTTCTGCTTGAACGGATCCTGACTTTCAGTTGAAATACAGTCCTTTGTTTTAGGAGGTAAAACTTTTGATTTTTGTTGTCCAAACGTGGTAACATTTTCTACAGAACGCAGTGGCGATTTCGAGCCATCTTTTGTTGACTTATTACTCGCTGGCAGCTTTTTTTGCTTTCCATTTTGAGGTGCCGGTTTCGATTTTAATGTTGTTTTCATAGCAGGTAATTCCGAAGAAAAATTAGGGCTGCTGGTTCGTTGAGGAGCAGTTTGTTTCATTTCAGGATTACTAGCGATTAGAGGCAAAGACTGTTGTTTCCTTTGCAGGTTGTAGTTTTGTATAGAAGCGGATTCGTGTTTCTTTTGGTAGCTCATTCTCACTGGTTTTGGCGGGCTCGTTTTCTGTGTGCTCTGCGGTATTTTACTGCTTCTCCTTTGCCTTGGATCTGTGTTAAGAGATGATATATTTAAGCATAACTATCTTAATCGAATAGTGTATTTTTCAAATTACACCAAAATACTGAATAAAAGTGAATAATGAGAATATCGGTCGGAGACCGAAGACTTATCGATCTTAGATCGGTAATTAGTTAATAACTCGCTAATTATACGACATAATTAACATTATTAACCCAAAAATTAACCCTATAGGCTTCTGGTCAGAGGTAAGATGCATGCACATGCAAAATTTGGAGCAGATTCAACCACGCGTTCGTGAGACATACAAACAGACAAATACCTATCAACATACTTACCGATCTTAAGATCGATAAGTAATAATTACTTTTAAAAGGTCATAACTGCATTTCATGGAGGAAGCAAATCATTCAAATGAAAATGTCGACATAAAAGAAAAAATACACAAAAATTACTATCATAACGAAAGGTATCAACAAATAAGAAATAATTAGATTATGTATTTACACAATGGTGTAGCGCATCGTGCTAAGCGTTAGGAATACGCTCATCACCACATCTCTGATTAACTTGCGTGGGTTAGCAGGTCATAGATCGAATCCTGTGGGGATAACTACATGCAAGAGGATTACTGGACTTCTCGCAGCCCCGAGGTGATTCACGTAACCACAGTTAGGTTAGGGCTTCATCCACCATCAAGGGTACTCATCTGAAACGAATAACTGGCTACATAACCCCATACCCGACATGGAATGGTAACTGAACGAGAGGAAGTGCTTTGCCACAGATTAAGTCGTCTTATCGGCTTTCCTTTCTACTCTGGAAAATACGTAAATCCTCTTCTTACGAAATGGTTTCAACCCAGGAGATTACTATACAAATTTTTACACTTTGAACAGACGAGACTATCATGATACTAGATTACAAGCCACAGCAAATCATTCCGATTCAGAATAGCTCAACGAATATAAGATTATGGCTAATGGCCATGGATCAATCCAAATCAGCAACACCATTACAGAAAATTTGTCTATCGCTGAACTACTAAACGAGTTTAAGAAATGATTGCAGGAATGTGAACGAGAGTCGAGACGAAAAACAAAATAGAATTTTTATACCTCCTGTTATTTCAGATTCCTTTCTTGAAGACCTTTTTTCTCTAGGTTGACCATCAATCTTTTCTTCTTGACTGAAACGTTTATATGAAATAAAAACTCAATTTTAGGAAAACTGTAGGAATTTTAGAACCAATTAAAATCACTGTTCATCTTTACTTTATTGAAGTTCCAAATTAAAATTGATCGAATACACACAGACTTCAACACATTCTATATTAAACATGATCTAATTTTACAAATTATTTAATACAATTTTGAAAAATATCATTTTAGAACGTTTTCGAAATAGTAAATCATTTGGTATAGGTAAGTAGGAAAGATTCTCATATTTATCCCACAGGAAAGTGAAGCCAACACGACGGCCTAATAATATGGCAATCCATGGCCTTTCGACCAGATGTTTCAGATGCATGGACTAGATAGTGGTGGTTTAAGGAAGTCATAGCCAATCAGTGGTTGTGTTTGTGTGAACCAGTGTTTCCCTGAAAATTTTTTGGGGCGCTTGTTTTTTCAACAAAAACCCAAATGTTACGGCTTTTATTTTCTAGCAAATTTTACTGATTATTATATATCTGTGTTGAAGCATTGTCAATAGTAATTGTAGATGGGGAAGCACTACAGCATAAAAGCTAGGCAGTTGTTATGCTTAAGACACGCAACGATTTCGAAAACTTGCTCAAGGCAGCTCAGATTTCTCACTTGAATTAATTTCTGAAAACCTAAATTTCATGTAAAAAATGGTGGTTTTATATTAGTCAGTTAATTTTGCGATCATGGAAGACTACATACCCCATTGGGAACCCCTGGTGAGAACCATCCTGCGACAGCAAGTAGTCCAACAATCCTCTCGTAAATAAATATACCATATAGCATCGGTGACAAGTATGTTAGTAACCCCGCTCCCAATGTGTCAATCGCTGAGCAAAATGGGCTGGTGATATGTCATAATACAACAGCACAGCAGAAGATACTTCAAGTCAGGTATATCATATATATTATGTTGATAGTTACATACCAAGATTGCCTTTTCTTTTCAGCTTTCATCATCTTTTCCTGTTTTTTCTTTTTTGAAATTTCAATGATAGCACGAGCGAGTTCTTCATTATTGACACTCGTTGACATATTCATGATTGCTTCCGATAAACTGAGCATGGATGGTTCAAGTGTCGTATCTGGGAATAAGTAAAAAAATATACAATATTTTATAACTAAACTCTGACAATATATGTTTGGATTCATAGATCAAAACTGATGCCTAAAAAATTGAAACTGTCTGTTATGAAAAAGCTGTACCTTGCCCAGTTTCATCATTATCATTTTCATCTGGAGTTACAAATTTATTCTGTGGTTCCATTGATTTCATATCTCTGGAGTGATTTTCCTCTGTAATTGTATTATCATGATATTCATTTTGTGATTCTTTGTTAGGTTCTGCCTTTTCCTGATCATCCCCTAGAAAATGGTAAATGTTTTTACACGGGTCCATTGAAGGAAAAAATAATAAATGTTTTTATATTCAAATCCACCTGAAGAAAGGTAGTACCGGTAAATGTTTTTACATCCCTCTTTTATACTTGTGCGATACCAGATATGATAACTAAACGTCTACACCTAGTAGTTTTTACATTTGTCTAGCCATGCAGTCATTGGAAGATAATTTCCTTGGGTTAGACTTTTTGTCAGTAATACTATTTCTCAACCCATCACATGTCATCACCAAGGATCCCAGGATGGGATGTACAAAAATTGGGCGAGAAAAGCCAACTAGTTAGCTTATATTTCTTTCAAATTCATTCTAAGTTACTGCCTATTAAAGACTTGTTACAAGCAAAAGTCTCAATATACCAAAAAATATTTAGTAACGAAATTTTGAAGTGAAAGGCGACTTTTCAAAATGAAATTTTGGTACTCACATAGTGTGTGTACCAGATTAAGGTTAGGCCATAATTTAATTCCGATTTTCCTTATTTTATTTGTATCAAAGTTCGAAGATTGTCTGTGTTAGCCAAGCGGATATGCCCCCTGCCCATAGGTTTCAGTCCCTTTACACAACTTGATGTAAAGTGGGCGAACAAAATTAGTTCCCTCCATATTGGTACATACACTTCTGCAGCGTCGAATTTTTTGGCATATAAGAAGATGCTTAACAATTACTTTTAGAATAATTGAAATTTAAAACTTTTAAATTCAAGACATCCCTATCTACAGCAAGCAAACCTACAAAATCCAATCAAGTCAACAACAATGAAATGGGAAAACAGACACCTAACTACAGACAAAATTACTAACTTATATAAGTATCTTCAGCAATCTCTGATCTTTGCAAAGGATAAGGTTTACGTGGAGAAGGCGTCCTAATCTTCATTCCGAAGCTTGGTCTTTCAACAGAAACCTGACTTTCACCCAACTTGCCCATTTTTCCAGACCTTGCTGCCATGTATTCACCAATTGATAATTTAGGTTCAACTGAAACAATTTAAACAAAACGATGTTATTAATCAAGATTTAAAGAATATAGTAATTGATACACTTATGGTACAGTAATTGATACATAGTTTAATTAGCACAGTCTCGGGCTGGCTCGGCTTTGTGGCACATTGTGCTAGCATTATTAAGAATACGCTCACCACCGCACCTAAAATTATCTTGTGAAGGTTCGAGTCATATGCGGGGATAGTTATGTGCGAAAGAATTGCTGAACTTCTCGACGCCATAGGATGGTTCATGTAACCACTGGTCGTATATGGCTTCCTCCACCTTCAAGTCCGTGCTTCCGAAAACAAATATCTGGCTAACTAATCCCATACCCCAAATGGACTGGTAACTGGACGAGAGGCCGTGGTTTGCCATATGATTGTGCAGCTTATCGCCTCTCTTCTCCCCGAGCTAAATATGTAAATCCTATCCTATTTAGTCATCGTTAGACCACCCCCATTGTTTCAACTTTTCGCTTCCACAAGATATGTATGAAATCTCATAAATTAAACGCATTACAAATATTTTATCAATTGAAACATTTAAAACAGGGTCGTCCAACCTTTTCGGCCAAAGGGCCACATTTAGTTTACGAATGATTGCGCGGGCCACTTGACATGGTTGTTATGTTCTAGTTTTCACTACACCGACTACAGAATAATGGGAAAACAAACAAAACCCTCACACCAAAATTATAAGAACATAAAAATACGAAGATACAGTTAAGTCAAAGATTTTTACCACACATAGATATTTTAATGTCAAGTATGACACCGCTTTTATCCATTAAGTTTGTCAATATTCGGTGCAATGGATGATGTAGCAATGCATAGCAAATTTTTCATATGACTGTCAGGAATTAGTGATCTCACGAGGGGTTCATCGGCAAAATAACTTGCTCGTACAAGTAGCCTAAAAGCTGTCAAATATTGAGGTCAGAAAAACTGCCTCTTCTAGCTTCACAGAAAAACAGATAGAAATACATGGCTATAATTTTGGAATAATTTTGTTATTAGAGGTTTCAATAATGGCCCAAATTTGTGAAAGACATTGGGATTTGAATAATACTGCGCAGGCCACTCGGAAACGTTCGACGGGCCACGGGTTGGGCAACCCTGATATAAAATGTCAACTATTCAGATATACAAATTAAATTACTAACAATCAAGAATTTGAGATTCCCCAACAGTAGTAAATCCACTTCCAGTAAAATCTCCGATTTCATCTGCAGAATTCATCATTAATTTATGTTCCTCCTCAAAAATTTCCTCCTCTTTGTCCAAAATTTCAGCCACATTTTCTGAAAGAAAAACATACAAACAAGAAATTAAAAATAATTGATAGTAATTGAAGTAAGGCCCAATCATGTGACCACAGAAAGAGATACATAAGCTAAGCACTCAAACGATTACAAACCAGCGAAATGAAAATACCTGCTGGATTCCTCATTCGACTTTTAAGTTGTCTACAAACCCAATTAGTGGCCAATTAGTGGATTTTACTGAAGGGAAAGATTGAATCAATTATTGTTCAAGTTAACAGTCATTTAGGGCTGTCGAAATAACTGACCTCTGCTAGTTAACAATTTAGGGCAGCCCAGCACACTATTCTTATCAACATCACTTCTGTCTTGAAGTGTCTTCCTACTGTCTAAGTTAGCCATAACAGGGCTCCCGCGAAGTATGCGAACCAAGATGGCGGACATCGGAATGTAATATGTGTACTAGGTTAGGGTTAGGCCATAATTTTAGGTATAAATACTACGGGAGGCTCTTGGCTAGTCTTCGAACTGATAATAGGACTAAAATAAGGAAAATTGGAAAAAAAAATTATCGCCCAACCCTAACCTGTTACCCATGTTACGTTCCGATGTCCGCCATCTTGGTTCGCATACTTCGGGAGCACCGCCATAACACTAGTCAGTTCAGTAACATTAGTGATGTAACGAAATATCAAAAGAATTTTCATGACAAAACAACATCAAAATCAACATGCAAATGCGATTACTAATTGTTACCTATGCCAGCAAACGGACCACACTGATTAGCTTATAAAAGATGATAAATTAAACACAACTTTGGAAACCAAATTCACAAATGGCACTGAAAAGACTGGAAGCCAATGGGCTTGCGATTAACAAGTTTTCATTCAGGTTCAGAGTTTTAAGTATTTTTCCTGGTCAGTCTTCTTCATGTTTAACCCAAGCCTACCCAGCCCACCCTGGGTCCTGAAATTTCGGTTTCAAATTGTAATCTATATTGCAATTATTAAATCATATTCTTACAACTTTTACATATAATATGTGGTAACAATGTATAAAAAAATGCTGTCAATGCATTTGACTAATTTTACAAACAATAAGTCCAGAGCTGGAGAACTTTATAAAATATATAAATGATATTTTCATAGTGATACGTGCTTGAATAAGACAGTAATTGTTCAACATATTTCTGATATTTAGATGCACCATATGACAGAGTTTTTATATAATTGAGTTTTCAGCCATAATTTTAAGAAATCTTGACCCTTACCATTAAAATTTTCTGATCCAAAAAATTCTTGTTGTAAATGAAGAACATCTTGAAATTCTCCTCCAGAAAAGTCTAGAACATTTTCTACATTATCTTCCTCATCTCCCCCAAAATTAAATTCAGCCTGGCCGATGTGAAAATCTTCATTGCTAATATCTTTTGCTGGAATGTTCTCCTGTAATATAAATGTTGTGTAAAATCATAATAGTAGGGTCACTGATAAAACTGTGCATGGTGATCTAGTGGTTAAAGCGTTAGACTTAATTATGATGGCATCGCAGGTTCAAATCTCTGTCAGTCCAGGGTGTAATAAATTGATCAAACAATGGTGAGCTGTAAAGATATCGATCCTCCCTAACTATATTAGATACTTACAGTGACTTCTTGAGCAGAGCGAAAGTTATGAATATGTCGTCCTCGTATTAAAAAAAAAGAAAACGTAACATCGTATTGAAGCAACAACCTTTCAACAATAGGATAAAGCCCTAAGTTGTAAAGACGTGATTCACGAATTTCAGTTGATTTAATTTCGGCAAAAAAAAAATTGAAACATTCTTAGGTTGCAACACATTTTTACGGCTTTTTCTTACTTTGTGCAAGTATCTCGAGATATTACTCACTTGCGAAGCAAAAGTGCCATCATTATCAGGTACATCCCTCAAAGATTTCCCATGTGATCGATACGGTGTTCCTGTAAAAAAGGGTGTGTATAGCTAAATCAGTGACCAAATAAATGCTTTGGTACTTGGGTAGCGGACCTGTGGTATTAAATTTGGGCGCTCCAGAAGTGTGTGTACCAATATGGAGGTAACTAATTTTGATCGCCTACTTTACAAGAAGTTGTGTAAAGGGACTGAAACCTATGGGCAGGGGGTATATTAACTTGGCTAACACAGACAGTCCCCGAACTCGGAATAGAAGTAGAATCTGAATAAAATTATGGCCTAACCCTGACCTGGTACACACACTACAAGAGTGCCAAATTTTGGAAACCTCATTCAAAGTATACCAGATAATCAGATTTTAATATTTGTATCAAGTATAAAAGAAATTAAAAAATAATTAGATGGTTAGAGGCTGGAGTCACTGAAATTTCTTGTTGCTACAGTGCTAACAAAATGTTAACAGATCCATTACTCCAGCTCCTCAGCCCTGCCAACAACTCAAAATTTTGTTTGCTACCAACCGAAAGTGCTGTCAGAATAATCCTCCATTCGAACAAGTTGAGATTCACTCATTAAATAACGAGATGCTAGCCTTGATTGTTCCGCACTGGATATTTTTTCACCAGTTGTTACATCAGCAGAATTTTCTGTATAAAATAACAAATCGTGTTAATTCCCACCTTAATGCAAGATTATCAATAACAAGTCTCAACTAAAGAGAATCCACTCTTTGACACAAAAATAGAAGAATTACCTGGATTTAGGACAATGAAAGTAGTGATGAAGTAAACTTAAAGATAGTAGTGAGTAAGTGAGTAACAATATTATTTGACTTGTTTTCAATTACAAAAAATAGTGAGTTGTAGCCTATATACACTGCACTATACGCTACTGATTACTATTAAAACTAATTTATATTTAACATTTTTCAAATATTCATCAAGCTAATAATAATTTCAACCGATGCCTCGTGTTTGAAAAAAAAAGTTATTTTTTCCGTTTTTTTTTATCACATTCCTTATTTGTGTATTTCACCCGCGATATAACTTACTAAAAAACATAAACCAGTTGATAAAATATGACAAAGAAATGGCATTTTCAAATATTCATCAAGCTAATATAATTTCAACCGATAGCTCACATTGATTGAAGAAAAGTTTATTGCCTTTATTTTTTCATACATTTGCTTATTTGTGTATTTCATCCGGAAATAACAAGCCTGCACAAGTGACATTGATATTTAATTGATATTGTATGGATATACTATTTTTCTGAGAGGTTAGGAATTTTTCTGGTTCGTCGTTTTCTACCCAATTTATTACACTCTGGGTGAGGTGGGTGAGCATGGGTTTTTGAACCGCAGGGATTGGCGATGCCAGCACAATTAAGTCTGAAGTATTCACAGCTAGGTCAATCACGACTAAAATGCATTCAATTTTTTACCGCAAAAAAAGCCCAAAACATTACCATTATCAAAATGTATATTTGGACTCCTGCTATCAGGTCGTTTAGATTGGTCCTGACATTTTTCAGGCATTACGTCTTCCAACCAACTTCCTAGGCTGATGTTGCTATCAACATGAACCAAACTTCCTGGGTCTGTAACAAATGATATCAAATTTACAAAGCAAAATTCATTACAAACATGTATTCTTCAGGAGAAATATTATCATAAACTTTTATAAGAAGATTAATTAAATTCTGTTTTTTAGACATTGGGAATTTTTCGAAAATAAATTCAAGCTCCATATCAATTCTGAAATTAATAAAAAGAAATGATGTAAAATCTCTTCATAAGCTGAACATAAAAGTGTTCGATGAAACATAAAACATCAGGTAATGGATGGCTGTATAAATGCTATGCCATTAGCATACGAGGCTAATTCTTTTTTGCTTCATACCAGGCATTGCTTCAAAATCAATGATACTCAATGATGATTCCTCATTGCTTGCAACAGGAGCATTATTCGAAGGTTTAGGAGAAAATGATCTTCCAGAGCCAGAACTGAAATTAGTAGAAAGATTGCCTTTTAGAACTACAAAATGATAAATTTCGTGAGTTGAAGTCGGCAGGAAGATATACATCGATACCTTGTTAGTCGAACAGCATTCATTCGGGATTGATGTTCGACTATCGATTTGTTCGAGTACCGAAATTTTTTGCCATATGAAACAATGGTTATTATTTTAATTCGTTCTCAAGCATTTCAAAATACCCAAAATATATTCAAAATGTTTACCAAAACAACAATAATTATTCGAATGTACATAATAAAATGAAAATAGAAAACATTTTGTATCAGTTACTGTATGTTTAAGCAAATTTCGGTGGGCTTAATGGGATTCAGTGATTATTGTGTGCAATGTCATAAAAATTGCGCATTTTGTAGTAATACCTTTGAAAACTCTACCTATCATATAATAACCATTTATTACGAAATATTATACATCCAAGAAAATAACCCATACCTATTTGATTGACTGGAATGTTTTAAAAAATCCAGAAACTGAAAACTTTTTTCTCCATCGGATTTACTTCTGTCACTTGCACCAACTTCCATATATGAACCAGCCATTTCAGAGAGATTCTGAATTCTGGAAAAGGATTTAGTGTGTAGTTATTTATAATTATGCTTATGGCAAAACACAAGTGTATAGGCTACTAAATAACATAAAGATTGGGATGTATTTGAAAATTCATAAAACATTCTTAAAATGACATTCTGACAGAGTTTTTTCTGTTTAGTTACTTGAAAACAGGATCATTTGAAAAAAGTTTTAAAAAAAAACTGAAAATAGAGAAAGATAACTCAGAAATTAACAATGAGTACTGAACCATCTATTAAACATTTAACAATGATTTATTTATGTTAAAATTTTAAATAATAATTTTAGAATTCGGATTGCATAAAGTCTGTAAAGCAGGCAATTCCTGAATTCGGGTGCAAAAATAAAGTGAATCGGTACGGTAGGGTAAGTCTATCAAGCTTTATTGCACAAATTCTTATATTCCTGTAAGTATGGTTTATGTTTCCAAATAGTCAGTCTTATACTACAAAAAATAACGTAGATATACCTTCCTAGAATGTCTCTATCGACTTTTTCTCTATGTGCCGTAGATGCAAGAACTGGTTCTGGTGTGTTTGAGGTGTTTAAGGTAATATCTTGCTCCCCCATATTTTGTGTCACAACTGCAAAACTTGGTTCACTATTAAGTGGACTTGAAAACTCCATCTTGTTCAATTTTCAAAACATCATAACAAAGGAAACTAAAGTAATCTAAACGTACAGACGTAAGTAGAGTAAAAATTGAACCAAATAAAGTTAATGCAATGATGTCAGAATGTCTTGATATGCCAGTCAAATCTTTTTTATTACAATATTAGCCATTCAGGAACAGCACAATAAAATGGAAGCACGAAATATGTGTGTACATCTACGCATTTGCCGAAGTAGACTGGATACCGGCGAAACGAGACAGCGGCTATGCCGCTACGGCACCTTACCATAGCTATACGACACTATGAATAAAAACTCTAGAATTCAAAATTACCGCAAACGCTTTAATGTGAAAACAGTATTGCCTCATGAGGGCGATGCAGGGCAATAATACACAGAATTAGGGAATTCCCCAGTATATTAGGTAAGATGAGATAAGATTAACATATTTATCCCGGGGGAGAAGGAAGCCGATAAGACAGCTGAAACACATGGCAAACAAAGGCCTCTCGTCCGTTTAACAGTTTATGTCGAGTATGGGAAATCGAAGGAGAATCGAAGGAAAATCAGGCCGATGAGGAAGAAGATTTGACTTTTTGACTTTATAAACTTTAAAGGCAGATTAGACGGCTCTCGCTGTAATCCGAGATCTGGAAGGTGATATATTCTGTAAAAGCTCATGAATCATTAAGAAACGGAGTTATCTGGACTCAGACGAGTTTTTCACTGGGCAAGGAAGCCGTGATGTTTGCATACTGAAGATTTTGTCGGGTATTGGTGTCAGAACTAAATTAATTTTTTGTCCATCATTTTAGCAAATGCTCAGAATTACAAATTTTTAAATAAGAACTTTCTAAATTCGAACCAATTTTGTAACACGAGAAGCAACGACCGAAACTAGTTTTCGTGTGTTTATGTTTGTTGTTTACTTTTTAGCTTTGTTTGTTTAAAAAAACAGCAGCTAATCAATTAATTGTTAATATTGGTATTCGCATTTCGGCACAGGTACTGTCACATAACTTCTAATTATTTTTGTATTCTTCACGACTTCCACTCATCGAAATTAATTACAACATTAAAAGTAAGCTTCGCCCGTATAATTTATTCGAAATGCACAATATAACAAGCTGGTAAATTATTTGTGAAAAAACAAAACAATGTACATTTTTTAACAAAATGGCAAATGGGTGTATAAAAAAGAAATATAAATAATGTCATGTCATCAAATATCAATCAAACATCGAACCCCGGACCTAATTCCGGATATAGTATGAGTGTAAGGGCTGATTTTACCACTGTGACCCATGTCCCACCGTGACCCACCTCCGCCTAATTCGTCCCGGAAACCCCTCGTTAGTACGCATTTCGCCTGAAAATGCCCTAATCCGCTCTAAGTCCCAACAAAACTTGGACATAATATTTGTATAAAATATAATAATGGTGAAAACCCGTAACAAATACATGTTAGAATTAGAATGCTACATAATAAGTAGAAAAGGTACACATGGAAAGAAAAAATAACAGAGAAATATGTTCGTTTACCTTCGCGATTGGCCAGCTAGGACAGGCTAAGCGAAGACCGCGGAAAGCGGGAGGATGGCGGTCGGGGGAGGTGGCAAAAGTTGACAGCTGATAGAGAACGTAATGTACAAAATGAGCACACACACATTATTAGTCTTTTTCATTTCATTTTCTTTTATTACTACTGTTAGGCGTATCATCGTCTTCTCACTGAATTTCGCTAGCAACACATTGTACATACGCGCGGGAAACAAGTGGGCCAGTGGGATGGTAGATATACATTAAATCAAAACGTGGACGGGCGCGCTAAGATAGCCTCATATTCGTTATTCTTATAAACACGAAAACGATATTCGAAAGTCACGATAATCGTGTGTTATCGAATTGGAACATCCCTTCTTCTAGCATTACATTAAATTAATCTAAATATCACTACAACACGTTTGAAAGTTTCGGCTTTTCGTATGTAGAAAATATTACGTTAGCCGAAGCAATATTTTTACGAGGAGCATTTACGAAGTTGAATTTTTTGTATCCAGAGCCTTTCGTAGGTAGAGTTTCTATGCAAGTGAAGTTTTAAGTATTCTGTGGCGTCTGCAGCTGTCGCAAAACTTGGCGGTATTCCATACCATGGCCGCTACGGCCAAACCTATGGCGACTGACGTTTTAGCTGGCAACGAACAATGTCGAGCTGCCGTTACCCGCGGCAGCAAATTGAAACCAATGTCAGGTAAAATTTCACGTCAGGTGGGCCGTAAAAACAGGGCTGTCCCTCGTGGTGACAAATATTGGGTAAGTTGGAACGTTTTTCTTATGAATACAGCTTTGATGGATTTGGGGTTAGAAATTAAGTAGATATATTTCCGCATGATCAATTGAAATCTGGTACATTAATTTGTGAATATACCGTTAATACTGATTACTGAATACTGAATAGCACTATAAAACCATGGCAAGAGCTGCCGCGGTTCGTTCGTGGCAGGATCTGCCATGAAGTGGTAAGAACTGAGCCTCGTTTCTATGTGCGGTCCACGGCTTCACCCAGTTACTTTATATGGCCCTTCTCCTCAAAAAAGGTTGCACCCTTCTGCTTTTCGGGATACATATAATTTAATTAATAGCATTTTGTATCTCCCACAATCAAAACGATTTAAATGCTCTAGCTAGAATATATACATAAATGGAATAGTAAACAAATTTTTTTTTATTCGAGATCCATACTCTTGGACAATATTAGTATATATTATGAAAACTTTAGTGTAAGATCATCTGCAGACCAGTGCGTTTTATTATGTTTCATTGTTTTATTCGCAAATTCCATTGAGTAATGAGTATATACACCTCAATGGGAAATTCCCGACTAGTACTCAAGACGTTTGTGCAGTAGCACTCAAGCGTAGCGACGCATCCCAGAGCGAACTATATTACAAGTACAGCGGTGCCATACCGGTACCGTATTTCTGTATTTAGTCGTTGGTCGGCGCTGCCAGCGGTAAGCCTACTTCTGTCAGTGCTTTATATGATCATTGCTGCGTATTTTATACGGTACCGTATATAATGTATGCATGAGTGTTTATTCGTCTCGTAAAAGCAATATAAAAGAGTTAGTAATTATCAACATTGAATGCAGGATGTATACCGGTATCTGTTTGTTGTTTTTAATTTACAGGTTTATGGATAAAGTAGCATAATCATGTTTACCAAGAAATGTTTCATGTTTGCTCGTGTCATTCCAAACTTATGTTCGACCACCTCATGTCTTGTCTCAACTGAAATTCTGCCATGTACCTACATCCGTAAAAGGCATTTCAAATTTAGTGCTGGACCGATTACTCGCAAAGACAATTTTAGCAAATTTCAGGTATTGCTGTATTGTCTGTATATTACAGTATTATCACTTGTCTGCTTGTCATTAACCCACTGACATAGATAATTAAACAACATTAACGTAATTCACAGAGTTTACAAGTACTAAAGTTTATAATTCTATTTTTACTAAATCTTATCTTCACCAAAGTTATCTGTAAAAAGACAATAATCATTTATTGATTTCTTTATGAAACAAGTAAAATTGTATTACAGTATTGCTCATGTTTTCATTGCATTGACATATCAAGAATTGTAAAAAGAACTTTAGTGGACTGAGTAATTTTTCAAGTCTGTCATGACCTATGCTGTTTCACTTAATACCGGTATGTCAGTATTTTATGTATATTTTTCTTCATTTTAGCATAAAAACTTGATCCAGAGCAGGTTGCAAAGCACATCCAGCGATTCAGGTAGGATAAAAATGTAATGATTGTGAGTACTGCAGCAGTAAATTATCAATATGGTTATTCATAGTATAAACATTTTATATGTTTTGATGTGTATTACTATGTTTTTTGTGAAATATATTATTTTATTATATCTTACATTTCTTGTTTTTCTTTTGAAAATATGATACGTAGGCTATATTGAGATTCTCCAAATTGTAAATGTATACATTTTCCAAACTTTGATGAATATTGTATAAATGCATATTTTTCTGTTTTATTTTATTTTAAAACTATATTATTTTGCTATATTGTATTAACAGTCTGGCAAATTTACTTTTCAATGCGGGTTGGGTTGTTTTGTATTGCCCAAATATTTATAAGAACGGAAAATTTTGCTTTTAGATGATGTAACAATCGTGTACCGCCATGGCCTTCCTGTCATTACAGTTACATTGCCATCAAGGCATGAAAGATGTTCATTTACTCTCCGTCCTTTGCTGTCAACTGTCGGACAATTTTTGAATGATTTAAAATCAGAAGATAAAGGAATAGATACTGCTGTAATTTATGGATCAGGTATGATTTCTGTGCTTATGTTTACTAATCTGAGTTAAGACGCACAAAATCTTCCAATCGCCAAGTAAAAGAATGTAATTTAGAATCGAAATATATTTTTCTGCCATGTAAATTTTTTATCATTCCATTTATCTGGGTCATCCTCATTGATCTTGACAATAATTTGTGTTGGGCTATTGGCATGAAGGTTTTTTGAAACTACGTCAAAAATTTTCACAAGCACAAAAATGATCAATCCAAATGAAAAAAAATTATACTACTTATTGATCAAAAAAAAATAATATTAAGAAGTACTGACTCCCATGTGTATAACATTACTTGTAAGAGTAAAAAATTTGAATGACCAACCTATTTTTGTAAGTTACTTTTCATCCATCCATTCACCAGAATTGGTTGCAACTTAATCATGTAAAAATACCTCATCTTATGAAAACCTATTGAAAATTATTTTTCAACTTGCACTATTCATTGGCTTTGAATATGGTACTTGTATGTTAAAGAATATTTTCTTTTGATTGGTTACTGCTGATTTTATTCGTAATTAGCATGGCTATTAATCATGGACATAAACTGTAAATTGCATTAATATTTAATGATATAAAACTTGCTGGATGTCAAATTGTTGGTTTTGGGGATGGTTTTCATGTATCACACAGGTCTCACTATATTGGTTGAAAACAAAATCTTCCGATCATGTCCGACCGATTGATCATGTCTGGATAACACTACTATCAGTTTTTATTGGTAGTTAGGAATATGTACCAAATTCTAACATAAGCTTACTTAATATGACTAGCGATGTTCTATAAAAAATGACCAACATATTGAAAAATTGATTTCTGAACAATGGCAATCACCATCCTTGTTTCATTATTCACAATTCAATGTCGCTTTTATTGATTTTCATCACTTACCTGAATTCCATAGCATATTCAGTTGACAGACCGACCAATTATATTAGTCCCATATTGATTTCTTCACCTATAAGACAATTTGAAATATTGAATCCAACACCTAATGTAACCGGCCAAAATTCACCTGGATTCAACATATTTATTATATTAGAGCATGAAATCAAATAATGTTGGCACAGTTTATTTCCTAGCTTTATCATGTATGTACTGTGATCGAACTTTTTCAATATTCAAATTGTGAATCATAAACATAAGTTGAACCTTTTGATAATTCAACATTGATCAGAAAGGCAATAAAATATATTGGTTTCTTGAATTGAATTCCCAATAGAGTCAATAAAACTCTATATATTGATCACTCAAAATGAATTATGATAAGTCTTTTATTACTATTCACTTTAAAAATAGATCAAAATTTTATTTCTTATTTGCTATTATTGCTACGGCTCACATATTGCCCTATAATTTGTAACTACCTACATATTATCTATGCCTCGCGTTATTCTTGGCTCAAAGCAATATATTTTATTTTGTATTTCAAATTACATTTATGTTGAGGAGTAGTATATATAGAATATAGATATGAATTAAAATATTTTAGATATTTCAAAGACTAGACTATATTTATACTTGTCCAACTCTAGAATTTTGTAGCCTCAAAAATTTTTTTTTTCAATTTTTTTATGCGTAGTTTGAATAATGGCTTATTTGAGCCCATCAGATGACAAGCCAATTATGCTCCACAGAGGTTCAATATTACTTTTATGCAAATATCAGAATTTAAAAATTTATGTTTTGACTTTTTTTGAAATGATCCTCAATTTTGAATTTCATTTATATGAAAATTTACATACCATTATGAGAATTACATTTTTTATTGCGTTGAATGATCTGGAACAAATTCAAAGATTTGTACATAACTCTTTGTAATTGATTTTTAGATGGAAGCAGGGTTGCATCAAGCACTCAAATCGAGCATTTACTCTCTGGAAATTTTAAACTTACAATCAATAATGTTTCTTATAATGTTGAACCTCCACCTTCTGGTAAGTTGCTTGATTGAAAATCAGTATTTGATTCTAACTTCTGACATACAAACATGACATTTCGATTTGACATTCATGTACTTTTTCCCATTTGAGTCAGCCCACTGGGAATGTAATGGTATTTTGATCTTGATTACATAACACCATCAAAAGCATTAAAAGTATTTTCACTTATGGTATATTTACATTACACCTTTACATTTACTCAGTCACAAGCTAATCTATCACAATTTTTATTTAGGCTTGAGACATTTGAAATTCAAAAACAAATCTTGATGTAAAACATTGCATTTGCTTGTCAGTTCAAATCTTGTGTAGCTGCCCAAGAAATCAAACCACTTATCTATATTGCAGCCAAAAAGGAATAGCCCTCTCTGAAGGAGACGATCCATATCCATCCATCCCTATTTTAGTTGCTGTTTGTTTGTATTATAAAAATAGTTTCAAAAAACTTGATCATAAATTTATCATTTGGACATTACTAGGATGACTATATCTAGGATGAATGTTCATTCATATCAAGCATATGTTAAATAAAGGTGTGACCCGCGGTTTCACCCGTTATTTGTTTCTTGCCCTCTTGTATTAAAGGTTGCACACCCCTATTCTAGATATATTTAATATAAGATGATTTTATTAATAAGATTGTTTCATACACAGACAAAGCATCCTCTGAGCACATCGCCGAGTTTGATGATTTGAAACAAGTAATAGCGAGGTTGTATAATAATTTAAATGTCGACCAATATTGCTTACAACAAGAACAGCAAGTATTAGGAAGGCTTGAAGAACTGAGGACGCAGCTAGAACCTCTCGAAAAGGTTGGTAGGCAGAAGTAACACTTTGAACAAATACCAGGTCTAATTGGACTTTAAACTTTAGGGCAGTGATTCCCAAAGTGGGCGATATTGCCCCCCGGTGGGCGAAAACGATACGGAGGGGGGCGAAAAAGTCGAAGGGGGCGATTTCGCGAAACCTGTTTTTGTTCGGCGCATCGATGCACTTGATTACTGTACTCTGCGTTCTTTCGTATGTTTGAATCACGTGGGCGATTATCACACGCAAAAGGATTGCTGGACTTGTCTTCGCAGTAAGGCACGGCAGTTTGCGTATCCCAGTGGTCGGCAAATACGGCCGGAGTAAAATATGTCTACCTAAATATCTTTTATCCGCCTATCTCTTCTAGTTGAAACCATTCAACAATTTGTTTTTTAAAAGTACCGGTAAAGAATTTTAGCCTAGTCTATCACAGCTATTTCTATACTAATTTTTGATTACCGTAATTAAACTGAGACTCCTAAGAAGACAAAGTTCCGTTTATTTTTGCATCTTGCTGATTGGCCAATGTCACAAAGTAAACAAGGAAGTCGATGCTCGGCGAAACACCCTAGCGGCGGTTTTGACTAAGTATTTTATTTATAATCTACGCAAGGAGTAAATTACATTTTTTTACGAAACAGAATTTATCGTGAGACACGTTTAGACTAAATTTCATTTTGTTATATATCCTAAAAATTCTACTGAAAAGCTACTCGTTTAACGAGCCTACAATTTAATTAGACAAATGGAAACACGCAGAAAAGTTGATGCTGAATGCCAGAGTTCAATAGCGCAGTAAATATTCGAATATATTGCAATGCAATGAGGAAATTAAATTCATATTCTATTTGAGAGATTTGTTCACTGCTTAATTTTTGAAAGAATGTGTTTTCTTAAAGAAAATCTTTATCAAAATTTCACAAACCATGCGAAAATATTCACTTCGATGTTTGGAAGTGGGCTACATATTTGTGCGAACAATTATTTTCGAAAATTTACATTACAAATAACTAGAATTAGTGATGCTCATTTAGAAAATGTTTCAATCTTGTCGTCGTAAAGCTATCAAGCGTAATACAGCAACAAGACAGTGTCACATTAAATGTCATTGTAATAATTTTTTAATAGAACGAGTTGAGTAGCTGAGTTGAGTTCACGAATTTAGCAGTTTTCGCGCGCTGTTCCGTCTTAGCTTTCAAAAAATATATGCGACCGGCAAAAGACTAGCAACCCTACATTTTGTCTTGCGAAGGACATAAAATTTGCCGACCTCTGGGCCGTAGCCGATAGTTGGTCACGACCTCTCCACATCCGAGTGCACGAATTCAAAACAAATGGCTGATTAATTCTATGGACTGGTGATCGGACTGAAGGCCGTGGTAGGATGATAATCGGGATTGAATTTTACCGAAGACCGTTACATACCATGTATTTTGGTGCAGGTCACCAGGCTGTAGGGACGAACAAGATGTACGAAAATATTTAATAAGTTTAGGAGAATTAACTTTGTTTTCATCATTTTAATGTGAAATGGGGTGAATTTAAGGAGGTAATTGCTATAAGGCAAGAGTACACGGGTTTACAGAAGGTAAAACTCTGGAATTTTCCATTTCCGACCTCTTATATGGTGAAAAAGGGATTTTCTGCCAAGCTACTAATGCTATCAAAACAACGAAATCGCCTTTCCATCAGTAAACGGGGTAATTTAAGATATAATAATAAACTCACTGAAGAACACCAAGCTCATCCATCTTATTAAAAAACACTGTAAACTATGAGTTGTCTTCTTATTTGGTCTGTAATATATTCGTTACTGGCCTAACATTTTTTTGTAGTGTTGGGGGGCGATGAAGTTGTATAAACTACTTTAGGGGGGCGATGCTACAAAAAGTTTGGGAACCACTGCTTTAGGGGACCCTTTCAGACATGTTATTAAGGATTCTTCATTTAAATAGAATGTTTTATTCTTGTCCAGGAAGTTTATTCACTTATCTTCTCTCTATCAACATTTCTTTCTATGTCTTTATTTGATTTTGAATGGTGATTCTTTATCTCTGTTATGGTTTTTTCAGTAGCTTCCAATTTATTTTTTATATGTAGCCTTCATATGTATCACCTCATGGAAAAACACCAATTCTTTAGTCTGCCATTCTTGTCAATTTGAATTTCACAGTTACTTTTCATAAGTGGAGTTAGATGCATAAGAATTGAATAGTAGAAAAAAAAAATTTCTGAAGAAACATTAATATATGGTTTTGGATAAAGACATACTATTTTGGAATCATCTACCGATATATTCAATCTAAACCTAGAGGAAACGGCAGATTTTAAATTGCTATGCATTATGGAGATTAATTCATTGAAGCATGGTGACTCGTGACTGTACAACAAATATTGAGCCATTGGCGCTAAGCAGATATTTTATATAGATGAAGCTAATGTTATTCATAAACGGTGCATTTTTTTATAATTCGTGCCTCAGAGCTCAAATTATCATTTTTTAAGAAGAGATTTTTTTTTCATTCATGTTTTTCTTTCAGGTGAAAAAAGAATTAGAAGACAAAGCAAATTTCCGAACAAATTTGTTAGTTTGGGGAGGACTTGCATATATGGCAGCTCAGTTTGGAGTGTTGGCAAGGCTCACATGGTGGGAATACTCTTGGGATATCATGGAACCTGTCACTTACTTTATCACTTATGGAACTGCAATTTTGATGTATGGATACTTTATTTTGACTAAACAGGTATGATTATTATATATTTTGTATTCTAGTAGATAATAGTAATATATTATTCAGTATTTTGATATAAACGAGTGACTCATAAAAAAACAGAATCCAGGCCAATCGAAACATATTCTAAAGAGAACATATCTTTTGTGTAAAGGATCCTAGATTACTGAAATTTCTGGCTACAATCGTACACAAACCGAAGTTCCAGTATTAAATAAATTTTCTTCAGTTTTGTGGAAGTAATTAGAAAATTTATGGGTTTTATTTTTATGTGTCACTCACTCCGTTTATCAGTTAAATGCAATTAAACCTTACCATGATGGGAACTTGGTTTTTAATTGTTTTACAATCTTTTTTTATTGTTAACTTTTTTTTCTGCTTATTTATTCACAGTCATTTGGCATCTTTGGTAGATTTCTCAGTTTCCTTTGCGGATTTTAGTTTTCCTGATTTTATTTGCGATATTATTATATATATTGCGAAGTGGATCTTCGAAGTGGCAACACCGATTATGAAATCACTCTGGCTGTCGTTAATCTATATTGATCAGGGGTACTTAAGATTGAATGAGGATTTAAATCTTTGCAATGTGTTAGAGAAACTATCCATCTACTGTCCATTTGATTCAATGCTTTCAATTATTCAATACTAAGTCGTATATCCCATGGGTATTCTCATCTATGCAAAACCGTTTCTAGGCCACAAGAAGCATTGTAATGACGATATAACTATGTTTGATATCACCTGCGACACCTGGTTGTAGTCAAAATAATGCTAGTTTGTGTTGAACTTACGATTTTGCACTAATGTTCGCTTTGTGAAAACTTAAAAGTAGAATATTTGATGGCCGTTTAGGTATTTTTGCTTGGATATGGTTTGATTGTTGATAATTGTCTGCTATTTTATTTATAGAAAATTTAAAATCATTTTTGTAGATAGGTTTGACAAAAACAAATTGAATATTCCAATACAGTCAAAATAGTTATATTCATTATATTTTATTCTTATTTTCAAAAATAATTTATAATATTTTCACTTGAAATTTCCATTGAGCATCTGACGTCTGATCTAACTCTCATGCAAAAAAAAGTTTAGTTTACTACTTACAAATTTAAATAAAGTTTTGCATTATTGACTTTTATTTCTATTAACTTATGATGGTTTGTATATGCTTCTCTGTTGGACATTGCCTGTTTAGAATATATCCGATATTTTATATTCCAAGATCCCATTTCAGGATGTGATTCGGACAATTTTTCATCAGCTCAAACCTTACTATGCCTTTATATTAAATGAAATGGGCAACCTGGTAAAACAGAAACATTTCCAGAATATCTTGAATTTTGATATTCCTGGCTGGGAGCTTCAAATCAACATTTTTGCTCAAATGACAGTCAAATATGATGATGTAACATTTAATTAATTCAAATACGCTTCATGGTCTTAGTGTAATAAGGTGCAATCGTCTAGTAGTTAAAACATTGGATTTAAATATGTTAGAATCGCTAGTTAAAGTGCTCTGGTTCAAACCGATATCCACAGCGTCATCCAGGTTTTTTTTAAACTGCGTAAAATTCAGATTCTTTCAAAAATAGTACCCTTTTCATATAAGTGGCTCTTGTATAGGTGTGTTCGTGGTGGAGTCTTGTAAACATCCTATAAGAAATGCTTTCCTTTCCAGGAAATGATGTATCCGGATGCCAGGGATCGTCAGTTTCTACGCTTCTTACACAGAGCAGCTGACAAATCAAAATTTGATGTGGCCGAGTATAATTCTCTGCAAAATAAATTAGCACGGGCAGAAGAAGACTTGAAAAAATTGAAGGAACCACTTCGAATCCAAACACCGACTTCTTCTCAACAAAACAAAATTAAAGACTCCTAAATTTGTAGAATTGAGAATTCATTGTTTTCATTTGTTACAACCATATATTATGCTATAATGCTTTTTAGATAATTATATTATATTCTTTATACATGGATAGAATAGGTAGCAAAATTTGTGAATTCTGTTCCGTACATACCGTGTTTGTATTCGTATGACATGTACTCCTGTACGTCTACTAAATGGGGTTGCAAAGGCTATTATGAACAACGTAATAGAATTTGTTAAAAACAATGATTTGCTCGAAAACGAACACAAAAAGCACATAAATAAATATACCGTAGTTTTATTTCAAAATTTTATGTTCGAAATCTATGTTTTGATGCATGAAAACTGTTACTGAGGCCTACCTCGTCAGTCGTCACTGCAACCATGGTGTAATATTTCGTAATGGAGGTCTAGCTCTCCAGAACTCAGCAACTAGGCTGTAAAGTAGATTATGTATTACACGATTTCTTGAGCATATTTTAGTTTTTCACAATTATTATACTGGAATTGTTTATGGGAAATCAATATCCTGGAATGAGAACATTTTATCCACTACTTGTGATTCGTTAACTTTACCTATTCTAGGAATGTTTGTTATGTGCTAACAATATAACCTAATGCTTCAAGGGCTGAAATATATATGGAAGGATTTTATTTTGATTCAACATTCCTGCTTGGATTCTGTAATCGTATGAGTTATCCTTAAAAGTCTGGTTTCCCCCAGCTGTTATTCAAAGACTTTGTGAAAAAGAATATATGTCAAATGTACAGTTGCTCATTTCAGACTTTTGTTGGCATATACAAACTTTCAATGCTTGCCAAAACTAAATTATTTTGGATATTATAATTTAAAATGAAGTTACTAGCTGATTAATCATCATTAAATTATCATCAGTTGACTTTTGAATCATGATTCCAAACTAATTTTTGGTCATTTGCTTAATATGCAAATAATACATTGGCTTATAAGTAGAGCATTGTATTTTCATGCAGAAATTTAAAATTATAGGAGTGGGGATTTAGACACTATTTTACTGTACTTTAGGCATGTACTGCACTGCATGTAAATTTATCGGTCGCTTCAAAATGTCACACCATATATTTTTGACGCTTTTTGAATAGCTTGTTAAATAGTTTCTCAATAATTTAGTGTCGGTTCATACCTTTGCAGGATTTTTTTAGAATACCTCGGTATATGTTTTTGATAATTTAAATTGAAAACAAATTAATAATTTCTTAAACATGATTACAGACTAGAAATGTCTTTACATTGCAATTGATCAAATACTTATCAATTTAAACATGTGGGATACAGTTATTTGACATTTGCTATTTTCTATATAGACAGAAATTAAATCTTTTAAATATACTCCTGAAGCAGAAATGTTGATTTATATACTGTAATTAGGTTTTTATTCTGTTTATTTTGAACACTGATTATGATATAGATTAAATAGATCCGTAAAATATGATACTTGGTTACAGTTTTCTATCATGTTTTTTTTCATATAATTTTCCTTTAGTTGGCTATACCAAATTAACTGTCGATTAGGTGTTTTTATATACTGTTAGTTCTACTGCATTTGACACTACAGCGCATGCTTTCCTGATATATTTGAAAAATAATGCATCATATTTCAATAGTGTTTCAAATGCCTCAATTTTGTTGAAATACTCTAGAACGGTTCAGCACAGTTTACTCCTTTGTCATGTAGTCACGCTTCTGCGGCGATCAACCGTTTTTATTCTCCTGTAAACATTATTTGGCGCTCCGGAAGTATTCGTACCATATGACGCACAACCTGAACAACCCTAACCTGGTACACATACTATGTTCGGGTTGTGCGCCATCTTGGTGGAATACTTCGTGAGCACCCATTATTTCACGAGAGCTAGGTCGATACATCACGCACAACAGCGATCCCCGGCTTGGAAAAGTCACTTTGGTTTAACCCAGCTTGCAATACACCAGTGCGCGTTGCTCGAGTATTTGCAGGCTGTTTGGAAAAAGGCTTGCGACCATATTTTTCAGATGGCCTTGGAACTCTTTCACCGAATTGTTGAATTTGAATTTCGTCTGGTTAGTCTTACCAACTCCCAGGATTTGAGTTGGAATGAATGAATATTTTATCGTTTATTACCATTATATGGTTCCCTCGTTGGATCATCGATTATGCAAACTAGATCATTCAATAAAAATATTAACTTATCATGCTGAAACACGGCGAAAATAAATTTCATACAACAGCGCTCAAGAAATTTACCCGCATTTTATGCTAGACTTTCTATGGTTCCCATTTCTTTTGTCTAGTAGAATTTATGATTAACAACAAAAGTTTAAACAAAGGATCTCTACATATGTCATTTACGGTACTAATTTTTTACTCTTTTGGTACCTAATCATTTGGTGTCGTGGTCCCACCCAACGTTTTTGGCAAGTTTATGTCCCGAACAAATCTTCACCTATTTCGTGAGATTAATTGTAAAAATTAACGACAAATGTTCATCCCTTCACACTGGTACATTGACGTGTCATTAACTGGCATATCGTCGTTGTACCGTACTTTCTGTCTCGTGTATAGTACTAGAGTTTTATTTGTATAGCCTATTTCATGTATATTGTCCTAATATAACGCAGCTGTCCTAAAACTGCTGTTATACTTGTTAAGGGTTCATGTCGCACATCTGTGTCTTTGGCCAGTAAAGTCTTGAACATGTATCTCGTCTCTTTTACACTGTTTAAATCATTATGCAGATACTGTTACATTTTGAGGCAAATAAACATACATACATATAACTTCAGTGGTCGGGACGCGTTAATAAAACATGTGTGCTATCTATTTGCCGTACATATTACAATCTCTTATCCGTCGATGAATGGCGTGTAGCTGTCATATTTGTGCCGGTGCTCGCTCCTCTGGCCGTATTAAACCTCATAGATCGTATTCGTAAAAAATATCTAATTTGATTGGAGTTCAAACTCAAAACTCTTTCTCATCAAAGAAGTGTTGCGTTGGTGATATTATTGGACATATGGATCGTTTTGTTAAACTGCTGTTGTGTTGTTGTGAAAAAATCGCCTCTCTCTTTACCTTCTGGAACAATTGCTTTGAAATTTTCAGTGACTAAAGATTATCGTTGTCGCTTGAAGGCTATTACTTTTTACCCTCAAAGATTTTGTTCTACTTCGCCCTGACTTCCGTATCCATATATATATATATATGAGCATTGCTCTCTTATTTTTTTTTTCCAGATATTTTGATGGACTGTTTTCTTCTCAACTTTTGAACTTTGTTTCCCCAAAAAATATTTCCAGTCGTCGAACGCAATTGGTTGTGAGCTCTCACCCGTTCACTATCAGTAAATCTATCAAACGAAAAAATATGCGAGGGTTTTCCCCAATGGACCTTTCTCCGAGCATTGACTTCCATCGTTACTTTGTGATATTGTCGAATCAGGTAGATGCAAAAGTGACGTAACAATGCTCCCCTTTCGCATCCGCTCAGCCACTTTTCTCACTCAGACAGATTTTCAAGCGTGGTCGTAAACATTACCTCGTTTTCGCGTTTTTGAACTCTATTCGTTAGTTTTTAGTTGCGTTTCGGAAACCTAAATATAAATCAGATAATTCAATGATCACTCTGTCTTCCTAGGAGTTTTGATTTAATTGCAGTAATAAAAAATTAGTGTATAAATAGCTGTGATAGACTAGGCTGAGGTTCTCTACCGGTTCTTTTAAAAACAGATTGTTGTGCGCGATGAATCATAAAGATGGTTTGAAACACATACCCCATGTTACAGGCGCCAACTCACAAAAGTACTCTTGAAAAAGGAAGAATTTTGGGGGGGTTAAAGGTCGGGGAAAGGTCCATAACATCAGTTATGTGAAGTTCGCTACCTTGTACCGTAGTTTTTTCCTGATCGTAGCGACCTTAGCTGCTTCAAGACTCTCGTTAATCGTATTTATTACCGCGCAATTCTACACTACACATTTATAGTCCCGGTAGCTTTCGGCACTTCAGCCCATAAATTCTCTCAGAAATCTCCCATAATTTTGAAATGAGTACGCGCTGAAGTGTGAGATGATTGCTGGATTCGCCGTTGCAGGATGGTTCCACTCACTGGGTTGGAAAATAAAACCCCCAATCCAGCCAAAATCTTTCCCCCTTCTTCGACAATGAGTGATTAATTTTTTGAATGCTCCAAAATCTAAAGCTCTTTTTCGAGAAATGCAGTAGCACAACAAAAGTCTGTTGCATCAATGACATTAGGCATTTAAGTTTATAATTGACTTGATTTTGGTAACTGTTTGCGCGAAAACGTTTCCCGCAACTTGGATTTGGTATTTATTATTTACTCTTGTGGCGCGAAACTTAGTAGGTGTTGTTGCAAGAACTCCTGAACTCCGCGACTTATTACTCGTTATACAGTTATAGCGTTAATTATTTTCTTCAGTGTGAATTCTTAATTTGTCAGTTACGGTATGGACAAAGCGCAGCATAATGATATTGACCCACAAACGAAAGATGAAGAATCCTGCGATACACAAACAGACGCGTTACCTTCACTTACAACTATACTGGGAAAGAAAAAGGTGAATGGTGGAAAGTCAAAAAACCATAACATCGCTGACAAACTTCTGAAGTACAGGATGGACTACCCAAACACTAGCGAGAGAGGACATGCTGTAATAATAAACAATGAAAACTTTCACTGGACAACAGGTAGAATAACTGAATAAGTTAAGCTTTGACATTTCGTTACGGTACTTGCTTTACTTTAGCTGTTTAGCGCATTCGATATACAGATATAATGTTATATAAAACAATTTTTTCTACTCCAGTATTCCAAGACTTAGCCTATTTCTGCAATCACTGAGCCAATCTACTCTACTTTTATTTTGATCTGAATACTGGAATATAGGTCTATCCCATTCAGTACATTTCAGCATTTGGGCACAGTTCTCAAGATTCTGAGAATATCCCCACATTCAGACATTAAAAGACATCAATTATAATAGTAAGTGCAAACCCTTCCATCATGAGACATTCATATAGAAACGAACTGGCTCTAATAGGGTCTCTGTGTTTATCACATTAGTATTTGCATTTCCACTGTCTTACTAACTGACTAAAGGCATAGGCTATCTATATTAGCACAATTCTCACAGCTTAAAACCAAATTAAAGAGTATTACCGTATCTATAATTTCACGATATATTTCAAGATTCTACTTTGCCTAAAGTTTGATATTTATACAAATCAAAATGAAGCCAAACATAACTCTGGAATATAATATACAAAACCCATATGTTTGGTTTATTCTCTTCAGGTATGAATTCAAGAAAAGGAACTGACGCAGATGCCAACAATCTCTCCAGATTGTTTAACAAACTTGATTTCAAGGTTGGAGTTTATAGAGACCAGACAACAACAGACATGATGGAGGTTAGAAAAGACTAAATAATTGTCACATTTACGCTTTGGTTTATAGTCAGCTTGTATAGTTGAAGAAAATTGAATTGCACTATAAAATATTATTTTTCACTACATGAACTATAGAAATATGGAAAATATTTCTTTGAAGCAGTTTGTTTACTGTCCTTATTGCATGTAGGTATGGATCTCTCCTTCCCAAAAAGTGTGTGTGTACCAGGTTAGGGTTAGCCATAATTTTATTCCGATTTTCCCTATTTTAGTTCTATTACGAGTTCGGGGATTGCCTGTGTTAGCCAAGTGAATATACCCCTGCCCATAGGCTTCAGTCCCTTTACACAACTTGATGTAAAATAGGGGAACAAAATTATTTACCTCCATATTGGTACACACACTTCTGGAGCGCCCAAAAAGTTTATCACAGAAAATACTGACCTATCAGTATTCATATCAACACTTCCTACTTCCTCATAACCACAACAGCTTCTGTACGACAGTCACAAAGTGTGCAATAATTTTATTGTTACCTTCTATTAACTCTTCTAGTTGTGAAAACAATCAAAACTGAAGTATCTTTTTGAATGCTACATTGGTACCTACTTAAAAATTTTCTTAAATATATTAAAATATTGTATTGTTCAAGGTGACTTAAATATAAAATAAAAGTATTAAATGCTAGTATATCTCCAAGTGTTCAAAACAATGTAAGATTGCATATGTTCAGAATATATATTAAAATGCTAAAACTTTAATTAATAATCAATTTAATTTAAATCATTAATTTAATTTTAAAAGTTCATGTAGATTGAATCCTAGTTGTATATAATTACTTTCTATTTGCTTTTTCTGCTTTTTGTGTAACTGGTAGTGGATCTGAACACATCGTCAGTAAGAATACCATAGGTAGAAACAAAATGGCATCAGGCAGGACAGATTGAATTACCCAACAGGCCAGATTTGGCCCGCAGGTTGTAGTTTGGCCATGTCAGGCTCAAAACCTCGATGTAATTATATAGTAATAACAAGAATAAGAAGTTACACATTTTATTTATTCACAGATTGTGAAACAAATGGCTGACAAAGACCACAAAGATTACGATTGTTTTATTATGGTGTTGCTTAGTCATGGAGATGATGGTAAGATTTATGGAACTGATGGATTAGTAGAAATCAAGAAAATTGTTGACAGCTTTCGTGGTGAAAGTTGTCCTAGTTTAGCAGGGAAACCAAAGATTTTCCTTTTCCAGGTAATTTGCTTTGAAGAGGTTATTCAATTGACAAATTTAATTTAAAATTTCTTAATTTCTTTTAGTATTTCTATTTCATATTTGTTAAAAAAGTGATCTCCCATCTCAGTCACTATTGCTATGATTTTATGTACCGGTAGTTTAATTTTAGCGTAATGAATTACTTTTTTTTAGCAAAATGGCACATTAGCGAGTAACCTGGCCATCCCAAAACAATACCAGTATTTATGAATGTAGATTCAAATGTGATTTTAATCTAAACAAAAGCAATATATTTAACATGTATTGAAATATAAACATGTCAATATAAAAATAAATGCTACGTCTTATCTAACTGGGTCAGTCTCCCAAAGAAATAGAGGAAAAAATCAGAATAAATGTGAGTCGCTCAGCAAGTGGTGCATGATCTGGCGGAGATATAATTTGAAATAGAACAAAAAATCAATCGACACCAGACAGGCCCACCCGCTGAATAAGTCGCATTATGGCCATCCATTCTTGTAATGTCGAGGACTCCAGAAGTCAAACATTTGCAACCTTATGTCAATATGTATGTCAAAGGGAATATGAAAATTATTACCTGTGCTGTAATAATAGTGCAGCTTGCATTACTCAATACAGTATGCGGAAGTATGCTGCAATATCATAATTACTTCCCACTCACGTTTTATATCACTTGCCCGCAATTTATTTATTTCTATATTGCTTCCTTTTCATGGTTCTTTAGAACAGGGGTTTTCAAACTTTTGGTGTTGCGGAGCCCTTGAAAATGTTGACTATTATTCACGGAGCCCCAAAATAAATGTTAAAATTGTTACTTTCAGGTTAATATTCCTGAGCAAGTTAAAAGTACTTTACTCAATTTAAATGCTGAACTTTTTTAATAGGGTTAATACAAGTCATAAATGAATCTAAATTTCAAACATAAATTATATATTATACTAAAGCTGTAAATTTGACACTTGACAAACATAATAAATTAGGGGTCAAATTTTTTCCCTCTTGACATTTTTGGAAGACTTAAAAGGCCGCTAATAATGTGCGCGATTGCATTTTGTTACAATCGCCGATTTTTTTTCCCCAGCATGGCGTGTTTTTGAACCTTTAAACATCTTTTCGCCAGTGTTTATTCTCCCTAAATCAAGAATTTCCCTCGGCATATACATGTATTGTTACACAACGACGACGTTAATTGCTTTTTTGTTCTCGTGGGGAAATATGAGTTCAGTGTAAAAAACATGTTATCATTTTATAGTCATCGGCGACGAAATGCTAAAAATAATAATTAATAAAGAGGTAAATCCGCAACTCAAATTTCTTGATTGAAAAGCGGCATTCTAAAATATTAAAACTAAAACTTAAAATGGAAGATCACATGTTTGGTTTCAGCAGACTCACCACTGATTGAAAACGCTTTTATAGACATTGAAAATCACCAAATTTGGTTTTATGTTAGGTTTTCATCGTAGTAACTGCAAAATCGAAACACAGTCAATTGTGCGCGCGATGTACCTTTTTTCCCATTTTGAAACTACCGGCGGAGCCGCACGCAATCAATCGTGCGCGCCATCCGCGATGTACCTTTTCATTCTGAAACTACCGAACGAGCCGAATGCAATAAAATAAATTTCAATTTTTCGTATTTTGCCCAGACATTGTGAATTTTTAAACGACGATATCTTGCTTAAAAATAATCTCAAGTGCGAAAGAACAAATCAAGTTTGACAAATCCCAAGATCGCAAAAATACGACTCCAATTTATTAATAGTTGGCAGTTTATCACATATTTTATGTTATTTTTAGAATAGTATTCTTCAATTTTAGTAATCCTAATAGTAATCTCGAATCAAACGTGAGTAACGATGAGCACAATTACATTATAACGACGAGACACGTTAAATGCTCGCATACGTCATGGATTAAATATTTTACGCAACAGCAATCTCGTTATCCGTTTTTTAAATCGCGAATGTTGCGCGGAAATTTCCGATTCTAATTTTGAACCACCCCCTCTCAAAAATCCTGGCTGCGCTCCTGCTTATAAATAATGTTATTTTTTAATTGCGCCTCTTTGCCAAATTTCGAGGCTATATTTTTGTCAGATTTTATCAAAGCTGTTATTGCTTCTTTGAACAGTTACAAAATTAGTCAGTATTTTGAAAAGTAATCGAATAGCTCGCGGAGCCCCTGGGTTTCTCTCGCGGAGCCCCGGGGCTCCGTACGGAGCACTTTGAGAACCTATGCTTTAGAATCACAATGCTGAATTCTCTCTAGTAAATTGCATTTGCAGTTTAAAATCATCTATATCTAAATCATTTTTTCTCTCTCTAAACTCAGATGTTAGTTTGGTCTTGATTAACATATCTTTGTAAACAATTATCACTAATTAATTTTGAAGGCGCATTTAGTTTATTATATTTATATCATGGTTTTATTTGATTACCTGTCACAGTTTGTAACATATCTTGCATATCTAAATTTCTGAATGTAAACAAAAAATAACTTTTGTATGAATAATAAAATATGGCCAACAGCACTTATCAGAAATGCAGTTTTAACTCATTCTCAAAGTAGCATATTCGAGTATTTGTAGGTTCTGAATATGCTTTGTCACACAAAAAATAATATAGCTACTAATACCAATTTTGCATTAAATTCATTGAAACTTTGTCCGTATTTTTTGAACCTTCTTTTATTTCTCTTCAATAATGGACATATAATTCTTACCTCAGGCATGCAGAGGAACCAAGCATGAAGTACCAATAAAGCCATCAGGAGATACAGTTGATAGTGCCGATGTTGTTGACAGCAAAAAGCAAAATGAAACAGTAGTTGATGCTGCTGTCAAAGCAACCATTCCAAGTGGATCTGATTTTCTTTTTTGCTATTCCGTTGCTGAAGGTTAGTATGTCACTTAGTAATATATCATATCTTAGGGAAATAGAGTTTGTGTGCAATGGCCTCGTGGGTAAAACTGTGGATTTAACTATTGACCAAATGGATTGACTAAGGAATCTCAGGTTGAAAATCTGGTTCTATTCCCATTCCCACCAGGGTATACTAAAAAATTGAGTAGGCAATTCCAAAGTGGAAAGATTTCGATTCTCCCAAATACAGTATGTGAAAACATTGTATATGAGATTGAAACATTGTATATTGGGTTCAAAATTAAATATGAAAGTTTAGATTCAATTATTTGAAATATTTGTTTACATATGACAGTTTCTGAATTCAATTCAGAGTGCCATTTTTGTATCCATGTTATGTGGAATATTTTCACTGCATTTTCTTTTGTGTGTATCTATTTTATGATGTTATTCTGCCGAATCGCTATAAAAATTTACTATTTTATGAAGTTTTATATTATACAATACAACAGTTTATCAAAATTGTTTTGCTTTATTTTGGTTCACATTCAAATTAGGTAATCTAAATCCATTTATGATAACTCAGTCATTACTCATTGCTGTGACACTGTGATTTTACTTTCGAATATTTTATATTCAGGCTTCTATTCTCACCGAGATACTTTGTATGGATCATGGTACGTTCAAGCATTTGTGGAAGTTTTCGAAGAAGAATTGATTAACAAAGGTATGTAGGAAAAATGTAGTGCATTTTCAGAAAAATTCATTTTCACTTGGAAAAGTTTTATTTTTAATATTTTGTATGTTTTTATGTGTTCGAATGAGACTGCAACTATTTTGTCCAAAGATATTCCAAACGATTCGAATTCATCGAAATATGTCGATATGGACAATTCATCATGCCAGAGCAAATTTAGATTATTAAAATTTATCATTTTGAGCATAAACTTCATGCATGACCATAGAAAAATAATTCATTCGACTCTGGCACGGTAATGATGTAAATTCAACAAAACAAATTTTTTTCTTGGCCCATTTTAAATATATATGATACTGATATTCCATATTTGGAATATATTTTGATTTCAACAATTTTTGATTTTGCTATGTACTTATTGTCCTAAACAATTTTAGGCAAAGACAATGCAGAAAAGATGGATGTACTAGATTTATTAACTCTAGTCAATTACAAGGTGTCACTGAGACGCGTGGAAAGGACAAGGAATCCTGATGCTATTGGAAAGAAGCAAATGCCCTGCTTTCTTTCAATGCTAACAAAAAAGTTATTTCTGACACCAAAGAAATGAAATTTGTTGGCGTATTTTGCTTAAATAGGAGTTGCTAATCTATTACGCGAGAGATGTATCTTGTGTGCAATCTTTAGCCACTGATAAAACATGTCTGTATGCATGATTTTACCTTGGCTTACGCTTGTTCAGAAGATTGGCGTGATTCATGCTTACACAAGTAGATGCAATATGTATTTTATTAACGTACTGATTAATTTGCACAACTTATTTTTGTATTATCCGTAATTAAATTGGATTTAGATCTATAGAGATAAATATTGTATCAAAGCTGACAAATTAAAGTAAATACCATTTTCCTGACCATATAAGCTGCTCATAGTCTCGTGTTCACTAAATATTGACACACATACCTAAGTCTGAATGGATCTTTTCCCGAGCATCGATTTCCTTGTTTACTTCGTGACATTGGCCAATCAGCAAGATGCAAAAAGTAACGTAACAATGCTCCCTTTTTGCATCCGCTCAGACACTTTTCTCACTGGGACAGATTTTTAGGCGTGGTCGTAAACATTACCTCATTTTCGCGTTTTTGAACTCTATTCGTTAGTTTTCTGTTGTGTTTCGGAAACTCAAATATAAATCAGATAATTCAATGATCACTCTGTCTTCCTAGGAGTTTTAATTTAATCGCAGTAATAAACAATTTGTGTAGAAATAGCTGTGATAGACTAGGGTAAAATTGCAAAAGCACTCTTAAAATAGCCCCGAAAATATTTCAATTGTGAAGTATAGAAAGAATTTTTCGGGGATCAAAAGTCTGGGAAAGGTCCATTGCAGGGTGACCCAAAAAAACGGAACCCAGGTCATTTGAACTAATTTTCATAAATGAAATAACTTTTGTGCAAAGGGTCCAAAATTCTTGAATCTTTTTAGTACCATCATACACAAACAGAAATGAGAGTTTTAAATAATTTTTTTTCATTTTCGTAAAACTGATTAAAAATTTTACAGGTTCTGTTTTTTGGCCACTCTGTTATATGTGTTAATTTATGGTTGTTCCTGACAATATACTTTATAGCTGCCATGCCATTGGTCATCGAACAACTTCTAATTTCTAGATTTTTCGATAATTCAACTTTAGAGAAGGTGTGCTGGTACCACGCAAGACAGAATTGTGAGGCACACCATCATCAAAAATTCAGTTCGTACAGGAATGTAAATTGAAAAATCTAATTCTTTCGATTACTAACTATATTCAACACTCTCGTTTAAACATCCTATCTAGTGTGGTTTGTTTTCTCAATACAGTATTAATGCTACAAATATATTTATTCAGATAGCATGGCCAAATGACAAATTTTACTTTAAGTTAGAAAATCTTAATTTATATAAAATATTTTAAATTGAATATTATGAATTTTAAATTTTATTTGAACTGAATTCTATTCAACCCGTACAAACTGTAAGCTTGAACTCTGAATGACTTGACTTTCTCATTGTGGTCCAAAGTGTTAATGAGTAGCTAATTATGTATTTATATACTCGAACTTCAAGTGTGTTGAAAATGACTATGATAAATTTGCAAATTGAACCTTGATCTGTATTTCAGCATCTCAATATTTCTTGTCTTGCAGCATTTCACTTGTGTTAACCTTATCATATTTTAGTAATGCACAGATTCTGTATTGAGCAAAATATTATTTATTAGCATAATTTTATTGTATTTTAGTCAAGAATGAAATGAAAAATTGATTTAAATGAAATTACTGTTTTTAATACCTAATATTTGTCTTTTAATGTGTTTTTTTGATCGCTTTAAATGTGGTGTTTTGTGCCTTTGCTTGCATAGAGGCTGGTATAATATATGTCACACAATGAATAAACCTGAAGCAATACTCGGAAACACAGCTTGAATCAAATAAAATTGCTTTCATTGTCTGTCGGCATCAACATTGCTCGATTTATTTATTACCTATAACTACCTTATTTTTATTTATGAAGTAATATGAACTGTCCATATTTTGCTGTAGTAGCTATCAAGCTAATAAATTGAATTTGAGCAGGTAGTTTAGGTACTTGAAATCTATAAAATTATAACATTACCTCAATTTGATCAAACGATATGCATGTTTTCAATGCAACTTAAGAACTTTGTGTGTGAGCATAAGTATTATCATAGCCAGATAATGAGAACCTTTTGGAAAGTTTTTCCTAAATTTCCAGACACTGTCCCTTATTTTGAATTTTAAAACATCATAGCATTATGGGCTTTGGCTATGCTTTATTGCAATTTGCTATTATTTGTTGACAATTTTCCTATTGATTATCATGATATAAGCCAAATCTTATATTCTTTAGTAGCATTATTCAGTAAAATGATAATCAAAAATGTAATTATGATTCTTTAACTTGTGTAGCATTGAGTGAATCAAAAATGTAATTATGATTCTTTAACTTGTGTAGCATTGAGTGTTGTATGCTTTCGTAGTGTAATCGTACTTTTTTTTTCATTTTACTCCGAATCATTTTTTATGATCGAATTTTATTGTAGTGTTAAGGTGATAATAATTTAAAATTAATTGTGCAATCTTAATTGTTTAATTATCCATGTGCCTCTAATTCTCATCTCAAAGCAACTAATCAGCACTGCTGCTTAAGCAAATAATTAACTTATGATATTGGCTTAAATTAGTAATATATTGACTGTAATCAGGTTTAGACTGAGACCTTCCATTCGTATTCTACTTCGAAATGAGCTCTTTAAATCATTTACATGAGTTCACAGAACTACTTGTCATGTTTTTGGCCATAATTCACTGTTCCCTCCAAGTTATACAATATGTTTCACTATGATCAAAATGGTGTGCTCAAAACAACCAATGGACTAGCTCTAAGCAAATATTTCAAAATGTAACACCAAAGTATACAACCCTCACAGTTAGATACATACGGTATTTGAAATTTTAATACTGCAACATGGAATCCTACTACGTATGATTGTCACCTGGTTTCAATGTTGACCTGTTCTGCTCAAATCCTCAGCATGGGAACCTGAATTTATGTGATTATTCATGATATATTTCTAATTTGAACTGATGTCTGCTTGTTGAATTCCACTGTGCACGTTTCAAAAATTATTTTTTGGGAAATAAAGCTGTTGGTGTCCTGGTGGGTTGTTTTCTTTTAGAGCACCTTGGAAGTAATATTTTTTTGTTAAAATTACCTTATATAATTTATGTTTAAATGAAAATGTTGCTATAGAATCATGTATATATGTGGAGCGTTTTGCTGGTTTGCTGCCACTTATTCATCTACCAACGGCGGTGCATTGTTTCATCACTGGGAAACGGGTCGGAAATTTCGCTTGTTTTATGTAATTAATGGTGGGTGACTCACTAAACTCGTGCAACAGTGTTTGTCAACTAAGATAGATAGTTCCATTGACAGAGAAAGGAGGGGAGAAAATTTACATTGAAAAGTTTACAACACAAGCTCGCATAGCTAGCTGATCTACCGGAGCAAAACTAAGAGATCATAACGCGAAAAATTCGAGATTCATCTCTGTTCGGCAACATCGATCGTAATTGATCAAAACCTCCGCAATGAGAGTATTTAAATAAAGCTCTAGCGATCTTTGGCTCTCAGTATTTCAGATTGGTGGTCTTCCTCCTCTTTCGGCATAGGTTCATCCTTTCTCCATATCCGACAAGTATAGACCTAAATTAGATCTTTGTAAGGAGAAAGTCGACTAATATTCATGTGTCGAACCACATATGGGAATAATTGACCAGTTATTTGATTGAGATGGTGGAGGAAGTCGTGGAGCATTCCGCAATGACAAGCAATCCGCGTACACATAATCATAAGATTCGAACGTGCGAAACCGCGCGGGTTAACCAGAGATGCGATGGCAAGCGTATTCAAGATGCTCAAATCGTGTTACAGGGCTGTTGTTTGGTTTATCGCTCGCTTTTCGAAAACACCACGTCAACGTGGTTTCGGAAGCAGTCGTTTTAACAATGTCAATGTACTTTGCTCTAAGTACACATAACTTGAAAATCTGTGCAAACAAATGTTTATACTTAGAATGTCACGTTTTCAATATGGGTATTTTCTGTAATGTAGATAAATTGAGCGACTCTTACGCCACAAGCTTGAATATTCTGGTACATATTGCGTACAGCACGCTCAGCAAACAAGCGCTTTCTTGGACGCTATTCAGTAACACGAAGGCAACTGCTTATATAAAATATATATAATATATACATATAAATCTATTCTTAGAATTTAGAACACTGAATGAATTAATAACAACGCAGAAGGACGTTATGTACGAAAATACGCAAAGTTAGGAATCATTTCCCCTATACTTGCTATTGGTGTACAATTCAGGATCCATAGAGAACACTTCTCGCACTAAATGACGTTCAAAATTAGTGACGACCGATGTAAAAAAGCAGTGATATTTCAATGCAATAAAACGTTTCAAAGCAAAAGAATGCTAAAAAAGGTACCTGAGCTTACATGACACCATCAATGCAAATTTTATGTTTGGTTTTTGATACGATTATTGGGATTTATTTTTGAAATTAAACTTTGCAAATCTGATTACAGATCCAATAGTCTGTTCAGTGGTGGGATTCAGCCGGTTCGCACCGGTTCTATAGAACCGTCTCACGGGATTTTATGAGATTAGCAAACCGGTTAGAATTACTAAAAAACATGTAACAGAACCGGCCGAAAAATATAAAATAAAACCTTGCAACAGACTCAGTGGTGGGATTCAAATTGGAAAAAGTTCTTATACACAGGACTGATTTATTGTATACGGCTTCGCGTTGCGCGTCCGTGTATATATATATATATATATTATATATATATATATATACACAAAAAGCAAAATCTACAGAGTATAAATGTGTTACAATAAGTAAAATATTGTTGAAAATAGCTAAAATTAAAAATAAATTATTTACCTATAGTGATTCTTCTACATTTTCATATGTTGTTTAAATTACTAAATCTACCTGAGAACTCGTCCAAGAGTTACGAGTCTATTTCCTCGGATCTGGTAGCATACTAATTAATAATGCTTTCCAATAAATTCTCGAAAACACAATTATAAAATTAGATAACAGGTTGCATAGAAGGACAATTTTTTTAACACCGTTTTATTTGCCAGATATGTTGAATTTGAATTTCATGTTGACTATGAAGGAGATGGAACTTATCATATTAGGAAATCAGACGATGGTATGTTGTGTACACAAAATGTATCCCAATTGAATGCTTTCAAAACGTCGTGGAAAGTTATTGATTAGCATAACAATGAAAAGTACTAGTAAACTCTTTTATTATTTTCCTTCTAATTTAAGACATTTGTTAATTTTTTGACACAAATTGAACG